TGGCGTCGAAGTCGTCGCCCTCCTCCTGCATTGCGTCCCCTCCTGCGGCTGCGGGTGACCCGCCCACGTCGTCGGGAAGGCGCTCAGCAGCAACAGCAGCAGCAGGAGGCGCCCCCGAGGGCGGGGCCTCCACCGCCCGCTTGGCCGCATCAATGCGGGCCTTGCTCGAGGCGGCGAGCCTTGAGAAAAGCTCGATGGCCTGGGTGACCTGGACGGCCTCCTCGCCCTCGAAGTGGTCCTTGAGCTCGGCAGCGTACCTCGCGCCGAGGGTGGCCTGGGCCAGCCTGTCGATGTCCTGCGCGCGCTGGTCGAGCTGAGCCTCAGGCGGGAGGCCCGCCTGCTCCACTCTCCTGGCGCGCTCGAGCAGGTCCTGCGCCTGGGCGTGGGCCTTGGCCGCGGCCTCCTTGGCCTCCGCGGCCTTGTCCACCGCCAGCTGGGCGTCCGCCAACGCCCCCTGAGCGGCCTCCAGGCTCTGCTGAGCCCTCTCGAGCTTGCCCGCCGTGTTCTTGACCTTCCACATGGCGCTCTGTACCATCGCATGGTGCGACTTGGGCGCCTCGGGGGCCGCCTTGCCTGGGTCGGCCTGCCTGCCGACGCCCAGCTTCCTCTGCGCCTCCTCGTCCAGCTGGACGCCGCGCTCCTCCAGCAGCCGCAGCGCCGCGGCCAGCTGGTCGGGCTCGTCGTCCTCCCCGATCTCGACGACCTCCGCCTCGCGGGAGTGCACTCGCCGAGGCTTGCCGCCGCCGTGCGCCCAGGGCGCCCTCGCGGCCGCCGCTGCCGGCTTGGGCTCCGCGGCCCTGGGCGGCCGCGCCGCGGACGGGGACGGGCCCGCTGCCGCCTCCACTGCCCTCTGCCGCACCGAGACGGGCGCGGGGCCCCCGCAGCTCCTGCAGTGGAGCCGCGATGCCCAGTTGGCCGCCTCGCCACAGCGGCAGCCCCAGGCTGGGGCCTTGGGCCCAGGGAGCACGGTGCCGCCGCCCTGCGCCGCCGCCCCGCCGTGGCCGCGCGGCCTGGTCCCCATTGCGTGAGCCAAGAGGGTTGCGGGGACGGAGGAATGGCGAGGAAACGGGTGATCGTTGCCAGTGCTCGTGCGCACACGGCGCTCTGAAGTATGTACGCACAAGACCCCCCCCACCTGGGAGAGCCCAGAACGCCTCTCCTGGTCCTCCTTTTCCTCCTCCTCCTCCTCCTCCTCCTCCTCCTTCTCATGCTGCGGCCATTTGAACCCTTCGACCGGTGATGTCCTCTACCCCTCAGCGCCGCAGGACTTTCGCGGGCCGGGGGCGCACAAGTGCGGGCCGACTGCGGCAACGAGATGACCAGGGCGGGGCGGAGGGAAGCCGACCAGAAAGGGGAGGACAATCGCCATACACGGTGCAGCCTGGCCACGATCTCTCGGGAGGATCTTAGGTGGAGCTCCCTATGTGGCCACGAAGCGTTGTGATGGGTGGGGGAAGCGCATGTGGACACCGCCACTACGGCCTTAGGTGGAGCTCTCGCTGGAGCCACGAAACGCTGTGTTGGGTGGGCGAAACGCATGTGGACACCGCCACTGGGACCTTAGATGGAGTTCCAGATGGAGCCACGAAGCGCTGTGCTGGGTGAGAAACACGCATGTGGACACCGCCATTGGGACGATCGCGACGGTCGCGGAAACTTCTCGCTGACGGCGGAGACAACGGGCAGCGGCATGTAAAACTTAGCGGCGCAGGCCGTCAAATGCGGCGCGAGAGACGTGACGGTCGACCTGGCACGCGGGGCGCGTGATGTGGCCGCACTGGCAGGTCAGCACAAAGGCTCCTTCGATGACGACCACCGCGCAGACGGCGCAGGTACAAGCCTCGGACCCGATCTGGCACACCTGATGCCCATCATGAGCGCAGCGGCTCCAAATGGGTTCTTGTTCGGGCTTTGGCGCAGGGTCTTCTGGAGGTCTTCCAAGGCATGCCGTAGCGCTCCAGGGATGTGCCCTTCAGAATGCCATAGGTCACCGCAGACGCGGCAGCTGCGGTAGAAAGCTTTCTAGCGCGTCTGCGGGCATGCTGAGATGGAGGCTTCTCGTCGCCCTCCCGATGCGTGTCACGCAACCCCTCGGAGCCATGATGACTAGTATGGGTAGCCTCGCACTCGACGTCCTCCTCCATATGGCCCTTCTTCTCCTCGCCCTCATTATTGTCCTTCCCCGCCCACTCCTACTCGGTGATATGCCTGACCCGCATCGTGGCACCCCAGGGCGACGCGTTGCTCATCCTCGAGGCAGTCTACAGGGCCGCAGCGCTATAGGCGTAATGCCCCTAGTTGATGTGCGCGTCGCTGCTCTGCCCGAAGAGGGAGAATGTGCCTATGATGGCAGCCGTGTCCGCGTTGGAAATGGTCGACGCGGATGGTCCGCTCGGCTGCGACCTGCGGCCCGGAATTTCGCGATGGATCCGGCCGCGGCGACGGGTGAGGGGTCCTCGGCAACATAACCCGAAGGGCTACGTGCGGAGAGCCGCCGAGGGGATACCCACTCCACGTTGGCGACGGGCCGCGGCGCGGTCCGCGCGGCAGGGGCGGCCACCTCTGCGGCAGGCGCGGCCGCTGGCGGCGGGCGGCCAGCTGTTTCCAGGCACCTAGCAGTTGCCTCATTACTCTGGTCCTCGGTATCGCAAGCCACCCCTCCTGTGACGAAGGACTCGCGCTGGCGGACGACTGCTGCTTGGAACGCAGTCTCGGCGGCCTTCGCGAAGTCCTGCGCGGGATAGGCGACGGACGGGCGACGGGTAGGGTCGCAGCAGCTAGAGGCATATGGGACCGCTGCCTCGTCGTCATAGCTACTGATATCCTGCCGCTGGCATGTGGGTGCTGCTCGGCGGAATGGAGTTCGCTGCTGGACTGGAAGCACTGCAGCATGTCTTCTCTTACCGCGGTGACGCTCGAGATGAAGTCTGGATGTCGGGCGAGCAAGCAGCGACAGGGACAAAGGCGGTTGCCTCCCTCAGTAGAATCCCACCAGCCCTCTGGGCGTAGGTGGTCTAGAGCAGATCCTCTTCCACCCCTCCCTCTTCCCCCTTGGGGAGGGGTTTACCCCTCCCCCTACCCCCTCCCCTGGACCTGGACGGGGGGGGCCGCGGGTAGTTAGAGCGTCCAAGATGGCCCAAGACGGCTCCAAGAGCGCCTCAGAGAACCCAAGATGAGCTCCAAGATGGCTCAAGATAGCGCAAGATCGCTCACGATGGCTCCTAAGATGGTTCCAAGAAGCCCAAAGACGGCCCCAAGATAACTCCAAGTGGCCAAACAGCTCCCCAAGGAGGCCCCGAAGAGGCCAAAATCGTCCCAAAACCTAAGGAAAATCAATGATTTTTGCTTTCTCGCCTTTTCGCTTCCGATGGCTATCCGAGGCCTGGAGATGGCTCCAAGATGGCCCAAGAGGGCCCCAAGAGAGCCCCAAAAGAGCCCCAAGACGGCCCCAAGAGCGCCCAAGAGCACTCCAAGAGCGTTCCAAGAGGGGTCCAAGAGGCGATTTTAGGGGCTTCCGAGGGGGGACGCTAATTAAACCCCCCCTCTTGTTTGATCGACTCCCTCCAAGATGGCCCCAAAAGCGCCCCGAAGGCTCCCCAGAGCGCCTCAAGAGGGTCCCAAGGGGCGCCCAAGATGCCCCAAGGCGCCCAAAAAGCCCTCCAAGAGGCCCTCAAAAGACCCCCAAGAAGCTCCTTCCCCTCCTCCTCCTCCTCCTCCGATTCTTCCTCCTTCTCCGTCCTCCTCCTCCTCCTCCTCCTCCTCCTCTTCCCCCTCCTCCTCCTCCTCCTCCTCCTCGACGACGACGACGACGACGACGACTCCTCTTCCATCCTCCCCCTCTCGGGGTCTGTGACAGCTTCCCCCGCCCTTTGTTATTCTGCATGCTCCCCGACTTCCCTGATCACCTCAACTCCCCTGAGCATCGTTTCTGGATGGGCTGGTGGGGATACGCGAAGCGTCAACAATTGAGTTTGTCTGACTCATTTTCTGGCACGGTGCTGTGGGGGAGCCGAGGTGGCTCTGCGAACTCCCACTCAAGCTTCTGTGGTCCATGGTCCATGGTGCCCCGGGGGGTCCGAGGTCGCTCTGCAAGCACCCCCTCACACGTTTCCCGTGACCAGTGTCGGTCTTGCACGCATGGCGTTGACGACGTCGTTCATCAAGATGCTGCCGCCCGTCCTGGCGGCGAGCGGCGAAGCCCAAACGGCGCTGTGCAGCGCGAGTGGGTACCGGTAAGGGCCCCCGGCTGGGGCCTGCAGGAAGGTGCCTCGTTGAGCAAATTCAGCCCGTTGGCGTTGTCAGCGGCAGACTTGGGTCGCGAGCGCCGGGTCCTCCATGGCCTGGGCCGCGCCTGGGCGCCGCCCGTTCGCCCTGTGCGGCGGGGGCATGTTCGGGCGCACGCGCCTGCTCCTCCTCCTCCTCCTCCTCCTCCTCCTCCTCCTCCTCCTCCTCCTCCTCCTCCTCCTCCTCCTCCTCCTCCTCCCACTCTTCCTCCTCCCCTCCTCCCTCCTCCTCCTTCTCCCCCCTCCTCCTCCTCCTCCTCCTCCTCCTCCTCCTTCTCCTCGTCTTCCTCGTCGTCCTCCTCCTCCTCCTCCTCCTCCTCCTCCTCCACAACCTCCTGCTCTTCCTCCTCCTCTCCTCCTCCTCCTCCTCCTCCGCCTCCCCCTCCCCTCCTCTCCTCCTCCTCCTCCTCCTCCTCCCTCCTCCTCCACAACCTCATCCTCTTCCTCCTCCTCCTCCTCCTCCTCCTCCGCCACATCCCCCTCCTCCTCCTCCTCCTCCTCCTCCTCCTCCTCCTCCTTCTCCTCCTCCCCCCCGCGACGCTGGGGGAGACGTAAATTCGGGTACGGATGAAAAGGGTTTGCCTGACGGGGCAACCCAGAAAATGACAAGATCCAGACTGAAATTTGACGGACGCGCGCTCCCGCTGCAGACATCCCACGAAAACTGGACCGTCTAGATCCAGGACGCGCTCGTCAAAAAAGTAAGCGAACCCGAGTTCCGGCGTACTCGAGTCTTACGTTTCCCTGAGACGCGTCCGCACCCTCTGGCTCCTTTATCCCTCGCGCGCGCACGCCCTGCAGTAGGCCTGCGCCCGGCGAAGCGAGGCCGCACATCCCCGACGTCGCCCCCTCCCTTGGTGGGCCGGCGCTCAGTGCAGGGAAGCGAGGGGCAACGATGCTGCAGGTTCGTGTCGTGTCGACCCCGGCGTTGGCTCCTGACACCGCGGAGATCGTTCAACCTTGAACGATCTGCCGTTTTCGAAACGTCGGATCGTTCAACATCGACCGATTCTGGGTCGCTGGCGGCGTTCAACGTTGAACGCCGACGGTGGGGTCGCCGCCGCCGGTCGACGCGACGCAAACCTACAGTAGGGGAGGGGGGGGGGGGGGGGCAGCCCAGGAGGGCAAAGCATCGACCTGGAATCGGCGATGCTTCGCCGATTGATCGGCGATAGGCCCCCCGACAACGTCCGCGCGTTGATGAGCGGGGTGGGCTGTCGGGCCCCTATCCGCGAAGGATGTGCGATTGAGCTCGGAGGGAAGTGAGAAGGAGAAGGCCTTCTCGGAAGGCTCGGAAGCTCCCTGGCCTTCGGAGAAGTCTGCAAGGCCTTCCCCGAAGGCAAAGAACACTTCTCAGAGAGCATGAGGGCTTCTGAGAAGCCCCGCCGCCTTCTGAGAGGGCCTCCTCCTTCTTCCTTCCTCCCCTCGCTCGCCGCTGGAGTGGAGCCAGGGGTCCTCTTTGGGGCCTCCTGGGGTGCCGTCGGCCGCCTCGAAGTCTTGGTCGGACCGCGCCCCAGAAGGAGTCTGGGGAAGGGCTGGCGGCGCGCAGGGGGGGCGGGAGGGGCCGCGGAGGATGGGTCCACATTCGAATGGTTGGTCCTCCATCATCGACGGAGCGATGACGGCGACGGCGGGGAGTGACACCCGATGACCGAATGGCAATCAGTGGCCCGAAGACGAAACGAGCGCAGAGGCTATACTTTGCGCAGAGGGAGGGGGCCGCTCGACTGCCTCGGCCTGCCGCCCGGGGGGGGGGGGAAGCCGCAGAGGCCAGCTGCACACCACCACGCCTGCCCACGGCCACCGTCCTGGCATGTGTGCTCGCCCCCCTAGACGAGGCACGAGGCCTGGAAGCTATGCGGTGAGGAACTTCTGCGCAGCGTGTCGGGGCGGCGGCCCAGGCGACATGCTTTAATTACGCCCTGCAAGCGGACAGCATGCCGCCCCGCTCCGCGGGGCGGGAGGCTGGGACAAGCTCGGGACGTTGACGCTCGGGGACTGGGACGTGGTCAGCGTGTAGTCCCATAAATCTCCTGCGGATGGGGCGTTTTCGAGGGGGGGGACGAGAAGCGGGGGGGGGGGGCGAGAGGAAACGTGCACATCTCGTGCCCCTCCTGGGCCCCTGGGTGCCCCTCTCGGGCCCCCTTGTTAGGGCCCCCGGGGTGTCCATTTCTTCACCCCTTCGTTTCCCGCCCCCCTCTTTCGCAGCGCCCGAACGGAAAGAGAGAGAGGGGGGGACGGACCAGCGGAGGAGCAGCAAGACGGCACCGCTCACCGGCACTGCCGCTTCGACGCGCCTGCGTCGGCGGCGGCCCCAGGCTGCGCCTCGACCGCCCACAGCACGACGCGGCGCAGCGCGGTGAGGTCCATGCGGCCGACGGGCACCAGCCGCTCGGGCAGCGGCAGCTCGCGCACCCCCAGGCCACGGGCCCTCAGGGCATCCCTCATCCACGGAGGGCATCCGGTGCACCACCGTGCCTGGCCAGGGCCGCACTGGGACCCAGGAGGGCGTGCGGACCCTCCTGGCCTTGGGCCGGGAGTTGGCGGCGCGCGCAAAGGGAGGTCGAGCGCGGAGGGGGGGAGGCTTCTCAGAAGGCAGGGCGTTGCCGAGAAGCCCTCCCGCCACTCGCTCCTGACCCCTGGTGCGCGGCGCCCATCGCGCCGCCAGGATGCCCCTGGCCGGGCAGGGCAGTGCAGCCGTGCCCCCTGCGTGCCTCAGCTCCGCGTCCAGCTCCTCCGCGCGCGGGTTGTGGGCGTACAGCGCCGGCGCGCCGCCCGCGGCGCCGGGGCCGCCGCCGCGCACCAGGCGCGCCAGGGCGTCCACGAAGGGGGCGACGGAGGCGAAGGAGTAAACGAGGTCTGCGGCCAGGACCACGTCCCAGTGACCCTGCCGCGCAGCAGGCATCTGCATACCACCACTGTGCCAGGCCAGGGCCGCCAGGGCCACCCTGGGTCTGAACAGCCATACAGCCGTACAACCATGGCCTGGCAAGGCATGGCAGTGGCGCATATACGTGTATCCAGCATATATATATGTATATATATATGTATATATAGGTTTGTGTATCCTAAAAGACTTCAAAGTGACAGATATCATGCTGAGAACAATGCGACTAGTAATAATGATAACACGCATCACTGTAATGAAATATAGCTTAATACACATTATAAAAGTACGAACGATAATACTGATACAAATAATGATAATCATAAAAATAACAATAATCAGAATCATTCTACTAATAGAATGAGCATAGTAGCCATTATGTTGTTCATCGGCATCCGAACCACCACCATCATCACCATCATCATCATCATCACCACCACCATCACCATCACCATCTGCATCATCATCACCATCTGCATCATCAGCAGCATTATCAGCAGCATCATCCTTACCATCATCTGCATCATCATCATCATCAGCATCATCATACCACAATAGGCATCAACATCATCATCCTCATCATCGTCATCGTCATCGTCATCAGCATCATCATCATATCATAAAAGTCTGCGGGCCTGCGGGCGTCATCTCATCATCGTCATCGTCATCATCATCATCATCAGATCCTCTGCGGGCCTGCGCGACCTCCGCTGGCGGGTCGTCCAGCCAGTCGTAGGCCACCGCCTGCGCAGAGCCCGGGAGCCCCCCCCGAATCCAGCCTCTCAACCTGAGCCGGCTTTCCCACGACTCCTTGGGCCCCAGTTTGCCGTCGCTCGGACGTCCATTTCCCGTGTATGTTTCGGTTTCGTACGTGTTGTTTTTGCTCGATAGTCCAGGATGGTCCTCGATGGTTCTCGCCGAAGGACAGATACACACGTCCGAGCGATGCCAAGCCAGGGGGTTGGGGGAGGACGAGGGGCCGACGACGGGGACAGCAATCTCAGGACCCCTCTCAGGAACCCCTGGCGAGCCTGCACTGAGCCGCCCGCGCCGCTCACGGCGGCACGGTTCAGGGCCACGTTGGTGTTCATCACTGGCAGCCCTGTCTCGCGGTCCTGGGGAGCCCACAAAAAAAGACTTACGCGCCCAACCACGCACATGACTACGGCCCCCCAGTCCGCGCGACCAGCCTCGTAATACGAACGTTCCCCCACGTTGCAGCATTCCAAGAGGGCCTACCACACAATGACCCTAGAACAAAAGAGTGTTCGAAGACCAAGACAATGTTCTCAGAACCCAAAACTGGCTGGGAAAGCAACGACGGCCTCAACCACACGCGTTCTAAGCACTCTCCGTGCGAACCACGGCACGTTCTGAGAACACTCTTCGGTGGGCTTTTAGGCCAGCCAAGACGCTTCGCCACTGCTTGGGGGTCCGTGAGCAGCGCGGAGGCGCCCGCCGCGGCCGCGGCAAGGCCCGCTAGCCCCGTGCCAGCGCCCAGCTCCAGCACGCGGGCGCCGCGCCACGAGGCCCGCCCCGGCGGGCAGCCGCTCCCGATGTGGGCCGCCAGCACCACGGCGGCGGCCCATAGGGCGCCTCCTGTCGCGCGCGGGTATGCGCAACTCCTCCTCCTCCTCCTCCTCCTCCTCCTCCTCCTCCTCCTCCTCCTCCACCACCCCACCACCACCTCATGCTTCTCCTCATTCTCCTCCTCCTCCTCCTGGTCTTCCTCCTCCTTCTCCTCCACCTCCTCCCTCTCCTCCGCCGCCCCTCCTCCTCCTCCTCCTCCTCCTCCTCCTCCTCCTCCTCCTCCTCCTCCTCCTCCTCCTCCTCCTAGGCATCTTGATCCACATCCAAGGCCTCGCGGTCTGGACCCCTCGGCCGCGACCCCGTGGGTGCGGGGCGGCTCTGAGCCGCGCGGAGCGCACCCACGGACTCGCACATCCCTGGGATGGCGCCTCGGTGCCCAGGCATCGGAGCGAGGGCAGGGGTATGGACGTCGTGCTCTTCGCTCGTGGTCCTGGGCCCTGCTCCCCAGAGAGGTTGCAGTAACCGCAGTCCAGGTACTGTCGGATCCGCAGCATGGGCAACTCGCCACCGGGCGTTCGCACGGGCACATCGTGGAGCTCGGCCCAATGCCTGGTGGGGGCAAGGGGAATACTGGTGCCCCTACGGTCGAGACATGGCCAAGAGAACGTGGGCCGAGAACATGAGCCCCTTCGAGGACGGTCAAGGGCGCCATGAACAGATGCCTCAAACTAGGAACACTCCAAGGGGGACCGCAAAAATATTAGCATCAGGATACCTCTCCCAAGACGAAGCTAATCTTAACACTCGTGAAAGCTCTCGGGCTGCGTCCGGACCAGGGCTCCGAGGCGAACTCGACATGGCGACGAGGGCCTCCCATGAGGCCTAGAAAAACAACAGCGGGAGAAGGGCCTCGGTTCTGGCATGTTGTTCCCCTCCAGACATCCGACGATCTAACTTGTTTTCCGATGCGCGGACTCAGGAGTCTCGACACATCCCCAAGGGTGGACTCTCCTCCCAGCCCATTTTTGATTGTGCCGCGGGACCCAGCAGCGGACCCCAGAGGCCGACATCGAGGAAAAACGCCCGGATAGAACAGGCATCTCGTCGGAGATCTGGGTCTGCGTGCCTCTCCAGCAGCGCGCGCGCCCTGGCGAGCTCCTCGGCCGTCTCCGCGCGCAGCTCTTCGTCGGCGCCCTGGCCCGCCAGCGAGGAGGCAAAATCGAGGCTCTCGGCCGCGTCCTGCAGGCGCCCAAAGTTCAGCAGCGCGCGCCCGAAGGTCAGGTGCCCAACCGGCCATTCGGGGCTCAGCCACGTCGACCGTCTGGCAGCCGCGCAAGCTTCGCCGAAGTCCTGGCAGTCTCAGACCCGACGACGGCGAAGCTGAGACAATGACGACGACGACGACGACGACGACGACGACGACGACGACGACGACGGCGAAGACAATATCGACGTTGACGGCGACGTTGGCGACGTTGGCGACGTTGGCGACGTTGGCGACGTTGGCGACGACGACGACGACGACGACGACGACGACGACGACGACGACGACGACGACGACGACGACGACACGACGACAACGCTTGCGAAAGCACCGTTGACGACGACCACGACGAGGAGAAAACAGGGAGGGGGGAAGAGCGAATGGGTGGAAAGAGCGAGAGATAGAGGCAGGATGGACGAGGGGGAAGGAGAGTGGGGGGGAAGAGACAACGGAGGAATCGTGGAGGCAGGAGGCGGAGCAGAACGAGGTGAACAAGCAGCAGGGGAGGCAACACCACGCGCACCATGAGCAGCAAGACCAGGGCAGAGAGACATCTTGAGGGCGAGGCGGCCGCGACGTGCCAGGAATGCACCACTCCGACCGCCTCTGCTCGCCCAGGCAGCTCTGCGTCCATTGGCCCAGTTTGCGCCACAGCTCGCCACCTCCGCACGAGTCCATCCCAGTCAAACGCCACCATTCCCCGCACATCTTTCACATGTCCCCAGGAAGGGAAGGACCATCCTGCTCCAGCTTCCCCAGTGTCCAGGCAGCTTCGCGTCAACTGAACCAGTTTGCGCCAGATCCCACCACCTCCACACGTGCGGATCCCAGTAAAAACGTCACCATTCCCCCACAAATGTCCCGCACGTCCCCAGGGATGGGGATGGGGCCATCCTGCTCCACCCTCCCTATCAAGGCACGACGCGCGAACCGCCTGTCGCTCCCGCAGCCCGCACCCTGTCCAGCGCATGCTCGCACAGGCCATACCTGCACACGATGCCTTGCGAGGCCTGCTCGCGACACTGCTGGGGGCGGCGCGGACTGCGGGCCACGCTGTTGCTCGCGGCTTCGGGAGCATGCGCAGCAAGCGCTGCGCGGCCGATGAGGAGGAGGAGAAAAAGGACGAGAAACGGGTAGCCAGAGGAGGACCCAGACCTCTGACGTCGCTGTCCCGAGACGTGGCCCCCAAGTCTCTCGACCCCTTCCCTGGGACAGGCTTTCTCATCCAGCATGCTTCCGAAAGCTGCCCTCGCGGCCCAACACAGCAGGCCTCCGAACGCAGGACGAGAAGAGGGAGCAGCTGCCGCAATCACTGCTGCGCGGTTCCGGAGCACAGGGCCGCCTTCCTCCGCGCCCGCACGTCCGGGGATTGCCTCGACGGGGGGGGGGGGGCCCGGCACCTGGCTCCGCGCGTCTGCCCTGCAGGGCCCCTGCAGCCCCGTCTCCGACAGCTACTGCGGTACTCTCCTCTGGCGCCAAGTCGGGCGTGTCCCCCTGCAGGGGGATGTTGGAGGAAACATAAAAAAGTACTCCAAAACTACCCGCCAAATGCTTTCAACCCAAAAAAAAATCGTCCCCAGAGTATTTTTCCTATATTTTGAATATTCCCCCTGTACAGGGACACGCCCGACTGAACTCTGGCGCCAGAGACTCGCACCAAGCATCCACTCCAGCGCACCACCGCCGACCCCTCGGACGTCTACAACACACTCAGTCCTGGGCGCAGTGGGGGGTTCCGCCGCGGCTGGCCCACGGGGGCCGGGGAGGGGCAGGGGCGGCGGAGGAAGCTGTCGCGCAGCGGTCGTGCCCCCCTCCCTATCTTCGAGGAGCAAACATAGGGCGACGAGATCTATGCATATCCACTGCTCCTGGCCAGGCCCATCCTGGGCCCAGGAGCGGTGTATATGCCTCCTTGGCCAAGCCAGGAGGGCGTATACACAGCTCTTGGGCCCAGGATTGGTTTGGCCGGGAGCAGTGGATATGTATAGATATCGTCGCCCTAAAACAGTCGGGCGTTGGCAGAATTGGGTTTAAAGGGGCCTGGTTTGGTGATGCGTACTGGGGGGCGCCCTCCCGCCTCGTTCCACTCACCGGAACTGCCGTCACCCGAGCAAAAACACCAGCTACGGCAGACCTGGTTTAGCGATTCTGGCCAATTTAGGGGTTCCAGGGCCCAACTACTAACCGGGTCCCCTTACCTGGGGTCCTCGCTGTACCCGAAACAGTGGCATGAGCATGAATAATTGTCCGAGGTCCTCGCGGATTTCTTGGATTGGCGCTGGAGCTCCCTTGCGCGCGCTCCGCGCCGATCCAAGAACTCCGCGCGGACCTCCGAAGATCCATGTCCATGTCATTGTTTGTGCCTCGATACCTGCCTCGTGGTCCTCCTCCCCAGGCCAAACCTCTGGCGACTCGAATCGCGCCAGGTGCTTCTCGGAATCCGCGGCCTCCGGGAAAGGCTTCCGCGACGCAGAAGCGGCGCGGTTCGAAACAACTGCAGAGGGAAAAGAGTCGAGGGCCCCAGGGGCCACGCATTGAAACAAGCACCTCGTCGGAACTTGGGGTCCTTCTCCTACTCTTCTTCCTCCTCTTCCTCCTGCTCCTCCTCCTGCTCCTCCTGCTCCTCCTCCTCCGCGTCGTCGTCCTCCTGCCGTCGTCTTCCTCGCCGCCGCCGCCGCTGTCGCAAGCCGCCGTGGCTTCCGTAGCCGCCGCCGCCGCCGAGACACATTCGCTGCAGCGTCCTCGTCCTCGTCGCCGCCGCCGTCGCCACCAGCCACGTCGCGCGTCGCGACCGCCACCGCGGGCATCGTCGCCACCGCCAGCCGGCCCCCCCCCCTTCCCTTCGTCGCCGGCGCCATCGCCTCCGGCCGCCGTCGCCGCCTCCGCCGCGCCCCCTTAACTATCACCGCCGCCGCCGTCACTGTCGCCGCGCCGCCGGGGGTCCTCGTCGCCGTCACCGATGGCCACCACCGCCGCCAAAGGCCGCCGAAAGCCGCTCCCGTCGCCGCCGCGCCGCCGCCGCCGGAGTCCGGGAGAATCCCTGCGGTCCTCCAGCTCCAGCAGGCACTGCGCCCGGGCCTCGTGGAGCCGCGCACTGCGCGGCTGCAGCCGGGCCGCGCGCAGGAAGAGCGCCTCTGCCTCCGGCGGCGGCGGCGGCGACGAGGGCGACGATCGGCGACTCAGTAAGGAGGCGGTGTGCAAAGGGTGCGGTTCGCAACGCGCACCCGGGGGGGCGGGCGAGGACCTTGACAGAGGTCTCCAGAGTTCTCCGCCGCGCCCCGAGGAGGCCCGACGAGGGCAGCGCCGTGGGTGCCCCCGAGCCCCTACGACGCAGATCGCAAACCACACCCCGGCGCCGGCGTAATCACACCCACTGTAGTAGCCGGGACGAGGAGGACGACCCGAGACGGTCATTCAACCCGAGAGGACCCGATCATCTTGGCGCGGACGGGATTGTGATCTCCTCCCGGTGCCAGGTCCCCGCATGGGGGGACCAAATGCCATCCCTGCTGCATCGCGATGCCGATGGGGCTCGGAAAAGAGAGACGCGGCTACCCCACCAAGACCGCCATTCGAACCAAATTTTTGTAATCATCTCGGCGCGACGCGCAGGAAGAGCGCCTGCGCCTCTGGCGGCGGTGGCGACGAAGGCGACGAGGAGGGCCCAAGACGGTCTTTCAACCCGAGAGGTCCCGACCATCTTGGCACGAACGGGCCTGTGATATACCTCACCCTGGCGGGTCCCTGTTTGGGGGGCCCAAGCGCCATGCGTGCTACATCGAAATGCCCATGAGGCTTTGAAAAGAGCGACGCGGCTAACCCGCCAACACGGTCAATCTACCCAGGATTTCTTGACCCCGTAAGGGCCCAAATGCCATGCCTGATCGCGATGACCATGGGTCCCTGAAAAGAGACGCGTCTACTCCGCCAAAGCTCGACAATCTAGGCGCGAGCGGGCCCGCTAATTACATACCAGCCATGCGGTTCCCAATTGGGAGGCCCAAGATCCATGCCTGCTACATCGCGATGATCGCCGGGCTCTGACATGATAGACGCGGCTGTCCCACCAACAAGGCCGTTCTACCCGAGGGGTCGTGAAAATCTGAGCGTGAGCGGGCCCGTGATCTACTCCCATGGCGGGTACCCCACAGGGAACCGCCATGCCATGCTTGCTGGATCGCGACGATTATGGGATTCTGAAAACAAGTGGCACGCGTGCCATGGCTCTTGCACAGAAGAGGAAGGGGGAGGAGGCGGAGGGGGCGCGCTGGCTGGTGGATGGGGTGATGCAGGGGGCACTCGGGATGGGCGGGGGGGGGCCGCGCCGAAATAAAAGGGTCGGGGCGGAGGGGTCGCGCTGGCTGGCGGGTGGGGCGATGCGGAGGGGGCGCGGGCGGAGGGGGCGCGCTGGCTGGTGAGTTGGAGGATGCGGAGGGCCTATAGTAAGGGGTCGGGGCGGGGCGGGGCCGCGCCGAAATAAAAGGGTTCGGGGCGGAGGTGGCGCTCTGGCTGGTGGATGGGGTATGCGGAGAGGGCGCGCGGGATGGGGGGGGGCGGTGCCGTGCCGAAAAGAAGGGGCCAGGGCGGACGGTGCGCTCTGGCTGGCGGGTGGGGGGATGCAGACGGGGCGCGCGGGGGGGGGGGCGGTGCCGTGTCGAAATAAAAGGCGGCGGGGCGGAGGGGGCGCGCTGACTAGCAGGAGGGGGGATGCGGCGGGGGCGCGCGGGATGGGAGGAGGGGGCGGCGCCGTGCCGAAATAAAGGTGTCGGGGCGGAGAAGGCGCACTGGCTGGTGGATGGGGTGATGGATGTGGCGCTCGGGATGGGGGAGGTGGTGCGGTGCCGAAATGAAGCAGTCGGGGCGCAAGGGGCGCGCTGGCTGGGGCGGGGTTAGGGGGCGTTCGGGATGGGGGTGACGGTGCCGTGCCGAGGGGTCGGTGCGGAGGGGGCGCGCTGGGCTGGTGGGTGGGGTGATGCGGAGAGGGCGCACGGGATGCGGGCGGGGGGCGGTGCCATGCCGAAATAAAGGGGCCAGGGCGGAGGGGGCGGTGCCGCGCCGAAATACAGGGGTCGGGGCGGAAGGGCCGCGCTGGCTAGTGGGTGGGGTAATGCGGAGGGGGCGCGGGTTGGAGGGGGCGCGGGCCGGAGGGGGCGCGACGGCTGGGAGGTGGGAGAATGCGAAGGGCCTATAATAAGAGGTCGCGGCGGAGCGATGCCGTGCAAACGGTCGGGGCGGAGGGGGCGCGCTGGCTGGTGGGTGGGGCGATACGGAAGGGTTGGAGCGGAGGGGGCGCGCTGGCGGTGGGTGAGTGATGCGGGGAAGCTCGCGGGGTGGGGGGGGCGGTGCCGTGCCGGAATAATGAGGTCGGGCCGGAGGGGTCGCGCTGGCTGGTGGATGCGGAGGTGGCGCGCGGGATGGGGGAGCGGCGCCGTGCCGAAATTAAGGGGTCGGGGCGGATGCGGTGGGGGGGCGGTGCCGTGTCGAAACAACAGGGTCGGGGCGGAGGGGGCGTGCTGGCTGGCTGGTGGTTGGGGATGCGGAGGGGGGCGCGCTGGCTGGTAGGGGGAGATGCGGAGGGGCCTATAGTAAGGGGTCAGGGCGGGGCGGCGCCGTGCCGAAATCAAGGGGTCGGGGCGGAGGGGGCGGGCTGGCTGGTGGGTGGGGGATGCGGGGAGGCGCGCGGGATGGGAGGGCGGTGCCGTGCCGACATAAAAAAAGTCGGGGCGGATGGGCGTTCTGGCTGGTGAGCTGGGTCGACGCGAAAAGGTTCGCGGGATGGGAGGGGGGCGGTGCCGTGCCGAAATAATGGGGTCGGGGCGGCGGGAGCGCGCTGGCTGGTGGATGGCGTGTTGGAGGTGGCGCTCGGGGTGGGGGGGGCGGTGCTGTGCCAAAATAAATGGGTCGGGGGGGAAGGGGCGCGTTGGCTGATGGGCGGGGTGACGCCGATGGGGGGCGGTGCCGTGCCGAAAGAACAGGGTCGGGGCGGAGGGGGCGCGCTGGCTGGCGGGTGAAATTCTGCGAAGGGGGCGTGTGGGATGGAGAGGGGGGGAGGCGGCGCCGTGCCAACATACAAAATCGGGGCGGAGGGGGCGCGCTGGCCGGTTGGCGGGGTGATGCGGAGGTGGGCGTGCGGGATGCGGGTGGGGCGGTGCCGTGCCGAACTAAAAAGTCGGAGCGGAGAGGGTGCTCTGGCTGGTGGGTGGGAAGATGCGGACGGGGCGCGCGGGATGGACGGGGCGGTGCCGTGCCGAGATAAAGGGGTCGGGGCGGAGGGGGCGCGCTAAATGGTGGGTGTGGCAATGCGGAACGGGCGTGCGGGATGTGTGTGTGTGTCTGTGTGTGTATGTGTGGGTGTCTGTGTCTGTCTGTGTCTGTGTCTGTGTATGTCTATGTGTGTCTGTGTGTGTCTGTGTGTGTCTGTGTGTGTCTGTGTGTGCGTCTGTGTGTGTGCGTGTCTGTGTGTGTGTGTCTGTGTGTGCCTGTGTGTGTGCTCTTGTGTGTGTCTGTGTGTGTGTGTCTGTGTCTGTGTGTGTCTGTGTCTGTGTGTGCATGTCTGTGTGTGTCTGTGTGTGTCTGTGTGTGTCTGTGTGTGTCTGTGTCTGTGTGTGTCGGTGTGTATGTGTTTGTGTGTGTGTGTCTGTGTGTGTGTGTCTGTGTGTGTCTGTGTGTGTCTGTGTGTGTGTGTCTGTGTGTGTCTGTGTCTGTGTGTGTCTGTGTGTGTGTCTGTGTGTGTGTGTCTGAGTGTGTCTGTGTGTGTGTCTGTGTGTGTGAGTATGTGTGTGTGTCCGTGTGTGTCTGTGTGTGTCGGTGTGTGTGTCGGTGTGTGCCTCTGTGTGTCTCTGCGTGTCTCTGTGAGTCTCTGTGTGTCTCTGTGTCTCTCTGTGTGTGTCTGTGTGTGTCTGTATGTATATGTGTGTCTGTGTGTGTCTGTGTGTGTCTGTGTGTGTCTGCGTGTGTGTCTGTGTGTGTGTCTGTGTGTGTTTGTGTGTGCCTGTTTGTCAGTGTGTGTTTGTGTCTGCGTGCGTGTGTGTGTATATGTCTGTGCGTGTGGTTCTATGTGTGTGTGTCTGTGTGTGTGTCTGTGTGTATATGTGTGTGTTTGTGTGTGCCTGCGTGTGCCTGGTTGTGTCTGTGTGTGTGTGTCTGTGTGTGTGTCTGTGTGTGTCTGTGTGTGTCTGTGTGTGTCTGTGTGTGTCTGTGTGTCTGTCTGTGTGTCTGTGTGAGTGTGTGTCTGTGTGTGCGTGTGTGTGTCTGTGTGTCTGTGTGTGTCTGTGTGTGTGTCGGTGTGTGTCGGTGTGTGCCTATGTGTGTCTCTCTATGAATCTCTATGTGTCTCTGTGTATCCGTGTAACTCTGTGTGTCTCAATGTGTCTCCGTGTGTGTCCGCGTGTCTCCGTGTGTCTCCGTGTTTCTCCGTGTGTCCCCGTGTGTCTCCGTGTGTTTCCGTGTGTCTCCGTGTGTCTCGGTGTGTCTCGGTGTGTCTCCGTGTGTCTCCGTGTGTCTCCGTGTGTCTCCGTGTGTCTCCGTGTGACTCCGTGTGTCTCCGTGTGTCTCCGTGTGTCTCCGTGTGTCTCCGTGTGTCTCCGTGTGTCTCTGTGTCTCTGTGTCTCTGTGTGCGTGTGCGTGTGCGTGTGTGTGTGTGTGCGTGTGTGTGTGTGTGTGTGTGTGTGTGTGTGTGTGTGTGTGTGTGTGTGTGTGGGAGGGGACGGGAGTGAGAAAGTGAGAGCACACAGGCATCAGATGCATCACACCAAACAAAACATAAAACACCCACCCACTCCAGCTCCAACATTGCCGACCGAACGCCCTGAACACCTCTACTCCGCTGGGGGTCGGCGGAATTGCGCAAGCCATTCAAAGGAGGAGTCGACGACGGCGACGACGAGCGGCCTTCTTGAAGTCGCCCGTCCCGACGACCGCGAGCGCCTGTGGGAGCAAAGCGAATCTGCACCATCAACACTGCAACCAACTGTTTTGCGGTGCCCTGGCCGAGACATCCGCAGTACCCAGCTCGGGGGGACATCGTGCATCCTCGCTGGACCAAGAAACGAACACACACCACTACATCCGTAGCGGGATAAAACCCTGAACAGTTCTCTGGAAAACTACGCGGAGCGGTACAGCGAGTAACTGCATGGTTGCCAGCGTGGGCACCACACAATTACTTGCTTGCAAAGGCCAGCTGCGATAGTTCAGAAACAACTTTAGAATACCCTCAACCAATTACCATCTCCCACTTCTGCCACGGCCCCTGACACTGAAACGGCCCCGACTTTTTACGGTTGAAAGCCTCAGGATCACGCCGAAATAGCAGGCTTATCACCTGGGCATCCCAAGGACGCGAAGCAAGCGGAGCGCGCAGATCCACGGGGCGGGGCCCTGGAGGGTCAGCGCGGGGGAGGCGGGGCCCTTATGATTTGATGTCGGCACTCACCTGGCTCGAAAGAACATTGCAGAGACGCCGTCGCATGTGTGATGAAGTGTCCTTCCAACCTGTGCCACACGTAACTGGCGCAGGCGATGTGCAACCAGCAGCAGCAACCATTGGCGTAGGGCATTCTTGGGTACCCTCAGGGTGGCGTTGCACCTGGCTGATCGCACGTAGGTCGTGGCGATGCGTCGAGCGTTTCGCTGGTTTGGTCACGCCCGATTCCTCTCCGTCCAGAGCGTCATGACCACCGCGATGGGCTAGGCATAGCAAATGTGAAACCCAAGGGGAAGCAGCCAGGGGGTGCTACGCTTGCCTGTTCGCGCCACGAAACGCGGCGTAGGCTTTGGCACCTCCAGCCCCTCTCTTTCCACAGACCCAAGATCATCCCAAGGTCGCAGACATAGCAATTTGCATTCCAGGGGGGAGCCGCCAGGGGCTAGCATTCTCTAACTCAGACACGCACAGGCGGACGTGCCAGGAACTGAGATGCAAATGTGGGGAAGCGCCGACTACATATACCAACAACTCTCTGTAAACAATACATGTTGGTCTTCCTGCGCGCGCACGGGCGTGGCAATGCGCGGCAATACAATAATCCACCCGCCGGGCTTTTTGAGGGGATTCAGCGAATTAGTTGATGGTACCCTCGACTGTCGGACAAGAGATGTAGGATACCTGCGGCGATGGCGCGATCGGGTGGTTCGAATGCAAAACAACGTTCGTACCATGGGTAGGCGTGGCCGCCTGTCGCAACAAGCCTAACTGCAAGATATGCTTTACTATACCACGGCCCCGGGCCAAGACTAAAGCTACAGGCAGAGAGCAGAGACCATGAGCCACGACGAGAGGCTACAACGACCAGCGGCCACGAGTCACGACCAGAGACCACGAGTAACGACCACAGACCACGGGCCACGACCCGAAACCAATACCAGAGACCACGGACCACGGATTTTGGATTGCGCAGTCCACCCAACAGCTTGAATCGGCGGTGGACAAACCTCCCCTGAAAGAAAACGGCCTGGGACCGAAACCGACGGACCTGGACCCGCAAAAATGACGGCCCCGACGCCCTCTCGCGAATGGAACACTGCCAGTTCGCTCATCGACGTGTCAGGGCAGGAGGTCTATCCACCCCCGCGAAACATCTCATGCAAGCTGCAGGCACAACAGAAAGGTCCGCGCTGATGTCTCGGCCTGGCGCTGTGCCCCCCTTCACTGGCGGGCAGCAGCGTGCCAGGGACGGCGCCCAGGGTCCGACGCCGAGCCGACAAATCAGCGCGGACCTCCGGAATTCATCGTTGTGCCGTTTCCGTGCTTCGATGTCAGGACCACGGCGCTTTAGGATAAGCGCGCGCGTTGCTTGATGTCTGCCAACTCCAGGCCAATAGGCGGCGTCCAAACTGGAACGCCCGCGCAGGCGTCGCGGCCGCGTCAACGTGGCGCGAACCTGATGCGAGGGCCACACCAGTCCCCAATTGTGGATTGGCGGCGAGCCTGGCATTCACAGAAGGCTCGGAAGGCCTCCGATTTTGTGATGAAACTTCGAAGCATTCCCCAAAGACGCAGAAGACTTCTCAGGCACGAGGGTTTCTGAAAAGCCACACCGCCTTCTGAGAAGGCTTGCCTCCTCTCACTTCCCCCCTCGGCGCGCCCAATGCGGGCGAGATGTCTACCCATGCCAACTGTATCTCGAGTTTTGGGTTCTCCCCAAAAAATCCCAGAAGCCCGAGGCGCAGTGGATATGGATAAAAATCTGGCCCCCAGAGGGTACATGTCTATCCAGATCCACTGCGCCTCGGCCTTTTGGCGCCCCTTCCCCAGAAAGTCCAAGGCGCACAAGGCATGGATGTGAGTCTTGCCCGCGCAGCAGCCCCCGGTGGTGGACAGTCTGCGCCTGCGCCTCCAGCTGCCCCGCCTGCTCCGCGGCGTCAGGCGGCAGCTCCGCCTCGCAGAGCGGCGGCCGCGCTCGCTCTTGCGGGGGGGACTCCGGCTCGGCTGCCCGCAGCTGGCGAAGGTCGCCCGCTGACCCGCGGGCGACACGTTCGGCTACACGTAGGAGTGACCCTGGGCAAGAGTAACCTTTGGTGCGCGGCTTGCCGGCCGCTGCGCGCGGTGCGACAGCAGCGGCATGCGTACCTGGGCTTGGCCGCACAGCGCCCCCTGAAAGCTGCGCACCAAAGGCCACTCCGGCGAAGGGTCACTCTTGCGCGCAGCCGAACTGGGCGTGCGGGGATCAACTCTCGACGCCAGCGACGCTCGCAGTTCGCAGGGGCGAAGGAGGGGAAACCCGAAGATGCTGGGCCACTCAAGTGCCCAGATCTTGCCGAAATCGGCGCGTTCCCCCGAAAAGCCGACCGCGGCATGTCCAGATTGATCTTCATCGTCTGAAAGTTCGGCCCGCGCCCATGTGCGCGCGGGGATAAGCTGTCGACGCCGGCGACGTTCGCCGAACGCAGGGGCGAAGGACGGGGAGCCCGAAGATGTCGGACCACTCCGAAAGCCCTGGACCCGGCCGACATCGGCGCGTTCCCCCGAAATGCCGCAGGATCGCGCGCAAGCATGCGGTATCCACACGCAGAAAGCATATCCTGAGATCCTGGTGCGGCAACTTTTTAACGCCAAGCGTTTCCGTCATGTGTACGTGCCCCGCGAGACCCTCACAGACTGGTCTGGATCGGAAAATACCGCAGAGAATTGGCGTCCAGGTCTCTGGTGGTGATGTTCAACGGCGTTGCAACTCGTTAGCGATGTCGGGTTTCAGGGTCTGGACACCACCAGTGCCAGGCCTGGGCCCCTGGCATAAGTGTGTGGCGCACCCCTGGTCGAAGCCGGCAGGCCTTGCACACCATCCCCGGGCCCAGAAGACGTGCTGGTGGCGTATATCCGTAAACCCAGGCGCCTTCTGCGAAGTACGAGTTCGACGTCGGCGGCGCTCGGGGGGGGGGGGCGAAGATGGGGAACCAAAGGGCTTGGCCCCTCTCGCTCGGACCTTGGATCCAGTCGGAATCGGCGCGTTTCCCCCCCGAAATGACAGCCTCAACATACTTAACGTTGTGGCATTCGACCGGCAGTCCCACCCGCGCCCAGACATTACACGCAGTAGTCGCGGCTGGCATCGCAATCCATCAACAACACATTGAAGGTTTTCATGTGCACTGCAGGGGAATGCGTGATATCCGTTTTGCTATACGCCGATGGAGACGATATGTGTTTGGATATCACTATGCGTGCAGATACCTGGTCTATGCTTGTGTGTGGTACCTATAGCAAAACACGCAAATGCATATGCGTGGATGGACATACATGCATATATATATATATATATATATATATCAAAGTGAGGGGCCGAACGGTCATTCATTGTCCCTGGGTGCGCGGCTGAATAACCAATTCGTGGTGCGAGTTATGCTTGTTGCGTCGTTGTTGTTGGTGTTGTTGCTATTGGTGTTGTTGTTGTTGTTATTGTTGTTGTTGTTGTTATTGTTGTTGCTGTTCTTGTTGTTGTTTGTTGTCGTCGTCCCACCCGCGACCCACCCGCGACCCACCCGCGCCCCACCCCGCGACCTATCCGGCGACCCACCCGCGACCCAACCCGCGACCCACCCGCGACCCAACCCGTGACCCAGCCGCGACCCACCCCGCGACCCACCCGCGACCCACCCGCGACCCACCCCGCGATCCACCCCGCGACCCACCCGCGACCCACCCCGCGACCCACCCTCAAGGGAGGAAAAACCACCCGAACCCGACAATTGATACTTTTGGAAGGCCCTGGCCGTTGACTAAGCAGCCCTGCCCTGTTCGATACATCCCTTGTGTGCGGTTGCTAAACGGATTCGCTTGTCGGGGTGATAATTCTGGGGTGGATTTTCTGCCCTCTACACCCGCGACCCACCCGCGACCCAACAACGACCCACCCGCGACCCACCCGCGACCCATTTGCGACCCACCCGCGACCCACCCGCGACCTACCCACATTGGCTTAACGAAACAATCGGCGCCTGCGGCGGGCTCGTTGTTTAATGTGTGAAGCGGTGGCGCCTGCGGCGGCCTTCTCCAGAGTCTCGCAAACTGCCGACGTCCCCACCGCCCCCTCACTGTTATACGCGGATGCGGGGTGCGACGCGTGTGTGTGTATATATATATATAGAGAGAGAGAGAGAGAGAGAGAGATGGCCGCCCCCCCTGTGATCATACTTTTCTGTGTTTCCCTGCGTCTTCCTCGTGTTCCTCTCTTTCCTTTCTCCCCCTCCTCTCCTCCTCTTCCTCATCCTCCTGCTCATCCGCCTGCTCCTGCTGCTCATCTTCCCCCTCCTCCTTCTCCACCCCCTCCTCCTTCTCCACCCCCTCCTCCTGCTCCTCATCTTTGTAGCAATACAGAACCATTACCAGACAGTGCGTGGCGCCTTCCCCGTCCCAGCATCCTTCCCCGCGCCTCCCAGACCAACAAAAAACATACACAATAGTTGGCGTCACTGGTGCAAGGAAACACTCTGTATTGTTGCGTTTTTTGGTTTTGGGGGTGTGCGAAACCACGGAACACTGTATATGCTTGGCTTGTTTGCTTGATGTGGCGTTGTGTGCCCAAATGATCGCGCGACCCCCGTGCCCACACCCTGCCTCGCACCTCCCAGACCAAAACAACCAACACCACACAGTAGTTGGCGCCCTTGGTGCAACGATACATTGCGTGCTTTGCTGTTATGTTTTTGGTGTTCTGGGTATTTGAAGCCACGAATCACGGTGCACTGTTTGGTTATATGCGGCGAGCATTGGGGCTTGCAAAACCACACAAAATGTCTCCTGGTTTCACAACCAGGAAAACCAACGAAAAAAACAACACATGCACACAAGGGCACCAACTATTGTGTATGTTTGGTGTTTGGGCCTCGGAGGCGCGGAGCAGGGTGCGGGCAAGGGGGTCGCGGCGAGCATTTGGGCATACAAAACCGAAAACAAAAAAACATGAACAACCAATAATGTTTCGTGGTCCCACACCCCCCAACAAAAAGTGTCTCTTCGCACCAAGGGCGCCAACTGCTGCGTATGTTTGGATTTTTGGTCTGGGAGGCGCGGAGAAGGGCGCTGGGACGGGGAGGGCGTGAACCGGGGCCTGGTATTGGTTCTGTATTGCTACAAAGAGGAGGGAGAGGAGGAGGAAGAGGAGGAGGCATCGCGTTCGATGAGTGGATCTGGGCATCCAATGTTTCGAATGCCCCTTTATCCCTACAGGGGATTCAGCTGCTTTCTGTTTGCCGCCGTTGGTGTGATGTTGTTGCGTTATGTTGCTGTTCTGTCGAGTGCTTCCGCTGTTGCTTTCGTGGCGGTGTTGTTTCTGGTTGGTCAATCGTCGGTGTCGTGGTCGTTGTGGTTGTTGCTTTCTGTTTGCCGCCGTTGGTGCGTTGTTGTGGTGCTGCGTTGTTGCTTCCGTTGGCTAGCAGCAGCACCAGCAAGAGCAGCACCATAACCAGCAACGGCAACACCACCATCAGCAACACCACAAGAGGGCAACCTTTGTTGTGGATGCCCTCCTCCGCATCTGTACTCATTACCCGACGTCTATGCCATGCTGTGCTATTCGATACAATGCTATGCCGCCCTCTCCCACACTTTGTCTGCCGTCGCTTCCGTGCACAATGGCACGCTTGTATATATGCGTCCGACCACAGATGCTCTGTCGCCTGGGGCTCTACAACTAGAGCGGCCTCTGGGCGACTGGCGACGTCTGGAGCTCTGCTCCCCCATGGACGAAACATTATGGTGACGCAGTGTAAATTACGGTAAACGCTCCCAGTTTTTGCACCCATCCCCCTTCCACGCTGGGAAGGTTTCTGGGATCCCCGGACTTGTCGGCACTGCCCACCCGGTTGGCGCGGCGGCAAAGAAATGCAAAGGAAAGGAGAGCGAGGTGGAGTCTGTGGCCTTGTGGAATCTCCTCCCCCTCCCCTTTCCCCCCTTTTTCCTTCTCCTCCCTGCCTATTCCTACTCCTCGCCGGTGACGATGACGACGAACCCCTCCCTGAGGGAGTCCCAAACAGCACGACGATGACAGCTTCCTCCGCGAAGAGGCCCCAAGCAGCACGTCGTCGTCCTCATCCCCCTCCTCCACCTCATCTTCCCTCCTTCTCTATCTCCTCCTCCTCCTCCTCCTCCTCCTTCTCCTCCTCCTCATCCCCCCTCCTGAGGACAGAGAGGGACTGGGATCCAACGCGAGAGAACGCAGAGAAGCCTTGCACTGCCAGGCCGCCCCACGCCCGAGCTTGCACTGCCCCGCTGGAGGAGGATAACAAGAGGAGAAGGAAGCAGATGATGTGGAGGACGGACGATTACAAAAAAAGAAAGCATCGACGCCTAGGCTAATGGTATGATCACAGGGGGGCGAGCATACACATACACATATGTTTATATATATGTGTGTAAGGTATACATAATGTATGCCACCTAGCTTGCCGCCACAGGAGGGCCTGAAGTAATCGATACTCAGCTTGTGGGGTTGAGGGGTAGCAAATCTGAGACCGCACTAAAACAGTGCTGCGAGAGCGCCACACGTATAATCGAACATTTGGCTCGACAGCCTGACTAGCTTGCTCTGTAGTGTTGCGCATGGGCCCCCATCGGCCCCCCAAACTCTCCAGTACACATCTCCTGGGCCTCGAACGGTCAAGGACGACCAACGTTTCGACCAGAGTCTCTAGAAACAGAACATCGTGGCCACGAGCGCGCCCCAGGACGTAAAACATGTATACAGACTACAACAACACTGCTTTCTGCATGACGCTTGCGCCCAGGGGTCTCGACCTATTCTCTAGGGCTGGCTTTACCTTCTGAATGTGATGTATCTCCCCGAAGTCAAAAAAACCTCTGCCTTCGAAGTCCGAAAAGGCGAAGCAAAGATATGAGGGTCGAATCTCGTTCTGGCCCCCCTGGTGGCACGCCCGACTTAGGTAACGTCAAAAGTGGGGCCGCTGCCGGGCGGGCGACTTCTTGTCTCAAATGGACCATGTCCGCAGCGACGCCGACAGCGATTCCTGCTCAATATAAGCAGGAACTGCTGCTGGTTGCTGCGAGGCCCGAGCTGGATCGAGTCGCGACACCGCAGCAGATCGGACACGGCTCGGATCGCCAGCAAATCGCTCCGAATCGAATCGAAATCGGATCGCTGCGCCTGGCTCCCGCTGGCCTCGCCGATGCCAGGTGCGCCGAACCGACACCCGACCGAACCCAACTCGCGACCCCAGCCGGCGAATCGCAGTCGAATCGCTCCGCAGGGCGGCGCTTCGCAGGCGGGCCCTCTCTGCCCCCGCCCTCTCCGCACCCGCTGCGGAGTGCACCCGCCGACGCTCCCGCGCGGCGCCCCCCCTGCGGGGGCTGGGCAGAGCGCCGGGCCCCCCCCCCCCCCCCCCCCCCCCCCCCGCGGCGGTCGGCAGGAGGCAGCGCCCCCCCGGCCTCGGCCTCCTCTCCGCCGCCAAGGTCGGGGCCGCCCTGCTGCTGCGCCAGGATGCCGAGGCCGCTCCGGCTCCTCCTCCTCCTCCTCCTCCTCCTCCTCCTCCTCCTCCTCCTCCTCCTCCTCCTCTCCTCCCCCTCCTCCTCCTCCCCTCTCCTCTTCCTCCTCCTCCTCCTCCTCTCCTCCTCCTCCTCCTCCTCCCCCCCCCCCTCCTCCTCCCCCCCCCTCCTCCTCCCCCCCCCTCCTCCTCCTCCTCCTCCTCCTCCTCCTCCCTCCTCCTCCTCCTCCTCCTCCTCCTCCTCCTCCTCCTCCTCCTCCTCCTCCTCCTCCTCCTCCTCCTCCTCCTCCTCCTCCTCCTCCTCCTCCTCCTCCTCCTCCTCCTCCTCCTCCTCCTCCTCGTCCGTCCTCCTGGGGCGCTGCTGGGGGGCGCCAGACGGAGGGGGCAGAGAAGAGGTCCGCCGCTCGCGGACCTTCGGGGGCCCCAGGGAGGTCGCGCGCATGGGGGGCCATCCTCGGGACTGTTCTTCCTTGAGTGCGGGCGGCGGCGGCGGCGACCTCCTGGTTCCCAGGGCGTCCTTGGGTGCCCCACTTAGCCCGGCGTCAGTTGGGACGTGTCGGATCATCGTGCGAGTGGCTCGTCATGGGGCTTCATTTAGGTCGGGCATGTCCCCCTACATGGGGATTTTGGTTCTGGGCGACAAATGAGCAATACACCAAAAAGCCCCCAAACTTGCCAAAAGTGGTAAAACAATACTCAAAGTATAGGCCCCAGACTATGTTTGGACTATCTTCTAAGATCCCTCCTGCAGAGGGACAGGCCCGCCTTAAGGCTCCCTTTCGGTGCAGGGGCCCTGCCTGCAACCCTCGCCACCCCCACCTTGCCCACCAGTCCATGGCGCAACGCCCGGCCTTGGGCGTGGCTTAGTGGGGGGGTCATAAATGGGGGGGTCAGAAACGGTCCCCTTTCGTGCCCCTTTCGGGCCCCTCCAGAGCCCCAGGGGGCTCGTTTAGGTACCGTTTGGGTACCTTTTCGAACCACCCACGCCACCCCCCCATTTATGACCCCCCCATTACGCAGCGCCCAACGGCCTCCAGGGGCCGTTTTTCCGGGCCCTGCAGGGCCACCAGACACACGCCCGAGACCAGGACAAAATGCTCCGGCGGGGCCAGGGGCGAGTCCCCTGGGACCCACGGATTGTGGAGATCGCCTCGTCGCAAGTCTGGAATGGGCGCGGACACGTCGCTCTCGCCGCCGCCGTCGTCGTGGTCGCTGTGGCATTGGCCGTCGTAGTCAGGAGGCGTCGGCGCCGTCTTCAATGTCGTCTCCGTCGCCGACGTCTTCGTCGGTAGCCGCTTTCGCCAATCTCATCGTCGGCGCATCTGTGATCGTCGTCGTCCTCCTACTCCCACTCCTCCTTCTCCTCCTTGGCTTTCCCGCCCACTCTACCTCGTTTTCGCACGCACTGCGTTAACACCCGTCTGATCCTTCTTCACCCTACCTCCCTTCTCATCTCCCCCCGCTTGACTCTGACTGATCAAACCCCTTCGTCCTCAACCTTCCGCTTTTCGTTATCCTTCTCGTCATCTGTCGAAGCCTCATCCTATTCAGCGCATCCACCTTGAGAAGGAATGAGCAGGTATGTGCAGGAGGAACCCTCATCCTCCTCCTCCTCCTCCTCCTCCTCCTCCTCCTCCTCCTCCTCCTCCTCCTCCTCCTCCTCCTCCCTTCTCGGTCCATTCGACGCCTGAGCCCATTGAGTCGCCGAGTGGCCAACCGAACTGGAAACAAGCCCGTTCGGCCGTCGGGGGGGCTCGATCCTGGCACCCCTCGACAACGGAATGGGCTCGCACGTCGAGTGGGCTCGGAGAAGAATCCTCCGAGCCCACCTCCAAAATCGGCCCGCTGGCCTTCAATTCGACCCGAGGCGGATGCGGCTGTGGCCGCGATGCGCTCCCCAGAGGCCCGAACAAGCTCGGAAACATGACACTCCTCCTCCTCCTCCTCCTCCTCCTCCTCCTCCTCCTCCTCCTACTCTTCCTCCTCATCCTCCTCCTCCGCCTCCTCCTCCTCCTGCTCCTCCTCCTCCTCCTCCTCCTCCTCCTCCTCCTCCACAGCACGGTGCGATGGGATCGAGAGCCAGAGAATCGCTGGACCCTGCGGCGGTCGAGCCGGGCCCAGGCCCCTGCACGTCCTGGCGACCCCGCAGCCGATGCACTTCATCCCCGCGCCCGCCCGCGCGCGCGCCGGAGGGGGCGCCCGAGGCGCGTCGCCCAGAGGGGCACCAGGGCATCTCCATGGAGCAAAGCATCGGGAAGGGCGCGTGGGCGGAGGAGTGCGCGGTGAGAAATGCGGTGAGGACGTTGGGCAGTAGGCAGGGAGCCACTGGATGAGGAGTCCAGGGTCTGGGAGCCGGTGGAACTTCAATCGAGTACTGGTCATGGATCTCACCACCGCCCTCATCGGAGAAAGAAGCCTCCAGGGTCTGAAGCATCCTGGGCACATTCCTTAACGAACGAACGCCCTCGCCGTAGGGAAAGTGTGCGCTGGGAGGCTCGACTCGACTGTGAGACAGTGCACAGAGGCGAGAACGCGAACGTGGCAACATTGAAAGGCATGACAGCAGGGCAAGAGCGAGCGGACGCCCTGGGCACCAGGGCAAGAGGGCAAGAGGGCACCAGGGCAAGAGCGAGCGGACGTCCTGGGCAGCTGGGACGTGCGGCTCCTCGGCGCAAGCTGAGCGGCCGCGGGCAGGCACGCCAACGCCCCACCCGCGTACGCCCCTCCGGAGGGCTGGGGTCTACAGGGTCGCTCAGCGGCATCCGGAGACGGCCCTCGCCTCCACTGCGGGGCAGGGGCGTGCACAGACGGGGGTTTTGCCTTGTCGCCGGCGGCCAGAGGAGGGTATGCCGTTGAGACTCTGGGTTTGGGATCCCAGGCCCGCTGGGGGAGGGGCCGCGCGACGCGCCGGGCTCCTTTGCGCGCGGGGCTCCTTGACGCTTCGTGCCTTCCTCCCTGCGCCCCAATCTACACTTGTTGTGTAGCGATCTGCCGACGCCTGGTTGCTGGATCCCCTTCCGGGGGGGGAGCCTGGGTATAGGCACGCAGATCCCCGCCGGTGTGGTACGGCTCGCGCAGGGGATGCGGCTGCGGAGGGGGGTGTCCCGTGTTGGGGGGGATTCGGTTCCTCATCGTCTTCTTCTTCTTCTTCTTCTTCTTCTTCCTCGGGGGGCTCGCCCAAAGCATAGCTTGTGTAGCTGAATTCCCGCTGGCACCGAAGCGTGTCCCTTACATGACTTTTCAGTGTGACAACTGATGTCCCTGACTGCGGTTGGCGACTTGGCCACCGCCTTCGACTCGAGAGGGGGGACTTTCTTCCCCCCTGGCACACCGACGGGGGCCAGGACCAGTGCTGCGGCCAATCCTCTCCTCCTCGGCTGCTGGTCGCCCGGCCTGGCTTTTTCACAGTTGGTCCCAGCCCGGAGCGGCCACGGGGCGGCTCCAGGGTGACATCTTCTTGACCCCTGGCTACTTTCTCGGCCTCCGGCCGAGGGCGTCTACGGCAGAGGCACCGTGTCGCTAGCAACCATCGCAAGGGCAAGAGCGAGGCGATCGCAGGACTCAAGGGCATCGTAGGGCACCAGCCAGCCGGCCAGGCTCGGTCCTTAGGCAAGCGCGTTCCACTACCTGCAAAGTCACTACTCGCAAATGGCCTGGATCCGACGCGGGGGATCTACGATAAATTACGTCGGAGCAGACATGTGTTTCTTCTGACGTGTGCGAGTAGGCACTTTGCGAGTAGTGGAACGCGCTCGGTAAATCCTGGCTCCGCTCGCCCGCAAACGCGCCCCCCGCCCCCCCCCGCGCGTGCGCGCCAGAGGCGCACCGAGCACCGTCCGGTGGACCGCGGGGCGACTCTGGGGGGCCTCAGCCACGCCCATCGGAGGCACAAGGAATCCACCAGAGGGCCCTCGGAGGCGACCGAGAGCCGCAAGGAGCCCTCGGGAGGGCCCTCCTCGTTCCTCAGAGGGCCCTCGGAGGCGACCGAGAGCCGCAAGAAGCGGAGGCCTCCGGAGGTCCTGCAGGAGTCTTGACACGCACCCGCAGGCAGCCGGACGCCTTCGAAGGCCCTCGGAAGGCCTCGGAGGCCTCAGGCGGCCCTCAGAGGGCTTTCGGAGGTCTGAGTCCGAGGCCTGCGAGGGCCTCCACGAGTCCTCGGAAGCCTGTGGGGGCCTCGAGAGGCTGTGGCTGCTGCTCCCCTGGCGCGCTGCGCCTGCGCGGGCGGGGGGGTCGCCGCGCGAGGGAAGCCGTGGCCAGCTTTCCGGCGAAGGTCGGCGCCCGTGGGGTTAAATCGGGCGTGTCCCCCTACAGGGGGATTTTCGACAAAGAATAAAGAATATAAAAAAAACGCCAAAATAGTTCACAAATAATGCAAAAAAATAGTCCCCAGACAATTTAAATATTTTTGAATACTCCTCCTGTTGAGGGACGGGCCCGACTTAACCGTGGGGCAGGTTCCCGGGCCCAGACGGCCTGACCATCAGAAGTCGGTCCAGCAGGGGGCGCGATCGGGAAAAATCCGGAGACCCGCACCGCGAACCGATCGCGACGTCCGATGTCTACGAGGGGGGCCAGCCCGGGCGGGGCAACATCGAGCTGGGATCGGCGAAGCATCGCTCATTGATCGGCGACACGCCCACGATAGCAAATCCGCAAGTTCCTGGGCGAGGTGTGCTATCGGGCCGCTATCGGCGATGAATGAGCTAGAGGGTCAATGCATCGCCCCATGAGCCTCCCCCCCAAACGTAGCACCTAGGTCTAGGTGCGAGGTGCGCTCAGCCCCGCCGCCAGCGCCGCTAGCGCCGCCGGCAATACGCGCTGAACGCTGCGCACTGCGCGCTGCTCGCGCGATCGCGGCCAAGAAGGAGGAGGACGAAGAGGAGGACGAGGAGAAGGAGGACGAGGAGGACGAGGAGGAGGAGGAGGAAGAGGAGGAGGAGGGAGACGACGACGAGGGCGTTGCCGACCCTCGCACTCCTCCCTCTCCTCCCTCTCCTCCTCTGCCCCCCTCTGCCTCCCTTCCTCCCCTGGGATCCCCTCCTCCTCCCTGGGATCCCCCCCTCCTCCTCCTCCTCCCCATCCTCCCCCTGAAGTGCAGCGCGCTCATGCCGTGGTGGCGAGGGCAGCGGTCTGCGCACCCCGTGAGCCGCTGGACCACGAGCACTCCTCCGCGGTCGGGCCTCCCCGCTGCCCATGCGCTGCCTCCGCGCCGAGACTGCACGAAACCACCGTGCGCACACGAGCACAAAAGGGGGAAAGCAGAAGCAGCTGCTCGCGCGAAGCATGTGAGGGCAGTGCGTTGGTGATGGGCGGGGGCAAAGGATGACGAGCACGGCGATCTCGGCTCTCTCTCTCTCTATTCTCTACCTACGTTCGACCCTCGGCCTCTACACGCGTTCCCTACCCTCCACTCTCCGCCCTACCCTCTACTCTCTTTTCTCGCCGCTCCACTGGTTGCTCTCAGCTTTCTGCACTACTCGTTCTGCTCCAATCTCTGCCGTATCTATTACCCCAGATGTCTCTACAATGATTTTACTCTCTGGCTGCCCTACACGTTCTGACCTCTCTCTCTCTCTCGCTGTCTCTCTAATCTCGGCACGAGATCACTTGTGCTCACCGCCGGCCACGGCGCGAAACCGTCCGCGCCCTTCAGCCTACTGAGGCCGTAACCGACCGTACCAATCGTACGACACCGATTCGTGACACATCCCCCTCGATCACGCACTCGTGCCCTGGCCTCGAAAGGTCCGCTCCGCGAGCGTTCCGATTCTCCGCAGCCCCCAAGCCATCGGTCGAGGGCCGACAAAAGATATGGCTGCTGGGTGGCAGCATGTCCCGAAAGGAAAGAGGCGTCGCCGCACTCCGGGGCAGTGGTGGCGTCGACCCAGCAATATTGCTGCATATAGCGAGCTGGTCCAGAAGCGTAGCACCAAGCACGACACAATCGACCAACAACATCGCTCCAACCCTTCCCATCGCTCGGACGTCCATGCCCCGTGCAGTGTTCGGTTCCGTGCGTGCCTTTTCCGCCAGAGGATCTAGGATGCTCCTCGACGGCCCCCGCCCAGAGTAGCCCCGTGTGGCCTTGACAGGCCCCCCGAGGAGCCCAGGGCGGTCTCAACACCCCAACGCTGGGGCGCAGAATGCCCCAGGGGCGCAGCCGGAGGCGGCGCCAGGGTGTGGAGACCGTCGCAGGCCACTCGGCAGGCCTGCTGAGGCCCCTCTCGGGGCCAGACGGGACTGCCTGGCAGGGCTGCCTGCGCGCAGCCCGAAGCCTTACCACCGCACGCCTTCGTGTTGACGGCCGTGGCAACCGAGAGCCCGCGCCTGGCCACGTGCGGGGAGCAGTCGCCAGCTCGGCCGCACAGAGGCCAGGTGCCAGCAGAACGTCGCCCGGATGGCTCCTGGCCCAACACGCAACGTGGTCTGGATCCGTGGACCGATCTGCGGAACCGCGGCTAGCGCCGTCGCGCCAGCCTCGCGGGAGCACTTCTCTTCCCAGTTTTCGGGGGCAGGTCCCATCAGCGGCACGCGCCAGCAAGGAGGCTCAGGCACAGCACAGCAGAGGGTCAAGGAGCGCCATACAACGGCTAAGCTTGACTCGACCGAAGTCCCAACCGTCTTGGCCGCCCCAAGCCAAGGGGGCTCCCGGTTCACATTCAATATCACAACACCCCAAAGCACTGCACCCAGATACATCACGGGGTTGGACCAAGACGGCCAACATACCCGACTCCAAGATGCCCACCAAAGTTCCCAAAGGTTCAACTCTTTCGGGCCCAGTCGCGCCGATAAACGCAGAGGCATCCGCGTGCAGCCCGACACCAACGAAGCCAAGCAAGCTGCTCTCAAGATCGATGGAACAGATGCGGCGCTTGCGAACACCAAACATCGGGTCAAGGGCATCGAGCCCCAAAGTGCTACGACCACGCACACCACCAAACTCGTCGTGTCCATCCAACGGCACCGGAGTCCAGCACACGGGATGGGACAAAGCCACCAGGGGGGGGACTTTGCCATTGTCAAGGCAGGCACACCCCCGCCCAAAACCACCGTCCACGCGCAAGGATCCACAACCCCACGGACCATCTCTCAGGTGGAGACCACCGCCAAGACCCACCCACAGAAAACGCCGGCAAAGAAGATCATCTCACCCCGTCCAAGATCCCGATACCGATCACTGCACGCCCGATGACCCCATCGAGGATCCAGACGACGATAGGGGGGTACATCCAGACGACGATAGGGGGGTACATCCAGACGACGATAGGGGGGGACCTGGATCTGGAATTGGAGGCGGGGGTTGATCCCAATCGACCACCTGGGCAATCGAATCGTCCTGGGACCTCAGTGGGCCGTGGGTGTGAACCCACTTCTGCCCCGAGGAGGCTGAGTGTTTTCCTTGCGCCAGGAACGACAGTCCCAAGGATACACCAAGTTTACTCTACCGGTGTGCACGCATGTGGTACTAACCACAAGCTTGGACATCCGGATGAGACGCGGCCCACAATCCGCCCGTCTGCCCGTCGAGCAGGAGCAGCGGCAATAGGATGGCTGCGGCCTGCCTGCTGAGCGTCACGACGCAGGGCGCGGTCAACTGGAGCAACTTGCCGAATATAGATGCACATCCGCCGCCCGCCGAGGTCCCCGAACATCGATCCCCGAGGCGGTGGGTCATGGATGTACCCCCGCCTTGGATGAGATCCTGGGAGCCCGGCGGCCTTCCGAGCTCGGGATGAGACACTCTAGGGAAGCGAACTCTATACACCGACGCTTCTTCCGGCCCTGCGCTGGAATTTGCACCGGAGAGCGGATCCTGGTGTATACGGGACCCTGGTGTGTATACATGTTTCGCTGTTTTCCCGGGACATCGGGGAAAAACAAATACACCACACCACCCCAGCGTCGTCCTCGACCCTCAAGAAATCCTGGTATTGAAGAACAGCCCGCCACTGGTAATGTATATGTTCCAGTTTCCGACATTCGTCACACGCTTGCTGCATCCTTGAAACATCCGCCAGGAGCCCTTTCGGTGCAAACGCATGCTGGGTCACGAGGCGTCTGTGCATTCACGTCGAGCTTCGCCGAGGTTCTGATGAGTCCCCGTGGGTCCGAATATTTTACCGGGCAACGAGAGATTTTCATTGGCACCCGCTGGCCAATCAGCTCCTTGTCTCATGTGCCTAAGGTGCGGCCCCACCGCGCCACGCGAGTAGAACCCAGTCCCGAAAAAAGCCGCAAACTCGCGTCGGCCGCGTCTTTCCAGGTGCCGGAAGCACTGCCTGCACACCCTCCCAGGACTCCCCGCTACCCGTTGGGGAGAACGCGTGCCAAGCCTGATGCAAGCTCTCCAACACAAGTCATCGACCAACCAGGAAACACAGATTGTCGCTGCGCACTGCACGCACCTCCCCGCGCCCAGACGTACATGCAAGACGACCCCGTCATGCTCAGGTCGCACGGCGGCTTTTCAACGAAAAAGCTCAGCGGACGACGCAGGCAACATCTGGGAAGATGGGGCGGGCTTAAAAAAAGGCCGCTGCGGGCGCATGCGCAGAAAGGCCTTGACGCTACCAGTGTTCCGCCTGGCTCGCTTTGCGCAGGTGTCACCAAGCTAGGTACAAAACGCAGGCGTAGGAGAGGCCGAGAGTGAGCAGACCTCAGGCCCTGTTGGCCGACCAGATCTGAGCCACCCCAGGGATCCTCCCTTCTGAGACCATTCGGGGTCCGAGCCCATTCGGGACCAAATGGGTTTGTTGCTCTGCCAAGATGGCGGGAATTCAACTCGTTCGGCCGCCAAGCGAGCGCGATCCTTTGTCAGCTGGGCGGCCGTGTTGTCCCAGGTTCCCAGACTCCACAGGGTGTCAAAACTGAAAGAAACCTGGGGGACAAGTGAAACAAAGAAAGACCACAATAACATCGACGACCCTCTCGTTCGACATTGCAACTTTCTGTGTCGTGGTCGTGGCCCCCCGGGAATCTCGACTCTTTCTCGGGCGTCGGCCTCTGACGCTGACTCACTTCTTGACGGTCCCAGGGAGGGAAGCGGCCTCCAGAGGCCCAGAACGCAGCAAGAGAAAACGCCCGTCACGGTTTGGATGCGACGCCCCGTTCTGAGGTAGAAGCACCGGCGGCGCCGCAGTCGTCGGCCGGCCGTACACCGGCGGCCAGCGTCAGCGTCGTCAGCCGCGCGCCTGCCGCGCGCCCAGCGCCGCCACCTGGACGAAAAGGGTGCGGCGCCGCTGCCGGGCCATCTGTCCAGACGAAGCCGCGCTGTCCGCCCGCGCTTTGGCCGTCGGCGCTATGTAGCCAGCTGCGCCGGCGCGGCCAGCAGGGCACTCCAAACGAGCGCCCGCGGGATTGGCGGTTGCGGCTGGCCAGCCGCGCGAGGCGCTATCTGGACGAGCTGGATGGGCCCATGGTGGACGGTCCAGCCTCCGCGCGGCGGGGGAACGAGACCGCATCCACGACGCGGAAGCTCGGTGGCGATGGCGCTGTCGTCGTCGCCGCGGCAATCGTCGCCGCCGTGGCCGTCGTCGTCGCCCTGGAGCCGCCGTCGTCGTCGAGGTGGGGGAGCAGGATTGGGGGGGAGGGGACAGAGAGGGGGGGAGCACGGGGATGGAGGGAACGAGAAGGACGGGGAAAGAGGGCGAGGGGGGGGCGGTCGAGGGTATGGAGGTGGCGGTGGACGTTGGCATTGCGGTCAACGCGTGCTCACGAAGTGGAAACGCGTGGGTGCCACCAGAAAGCTCGCAACCAAAGAATGCCGCTGCCCAAGATTGGGACAGCGACAATGCGTAGGGAGACCCCATTGAACAGGGACATGGTCCTGGGGAAACCTATGACTGGATAAACAGGTGGGGGTACTTGAGCGCGGAGGGCTGCTACGAACAACCGCCAAAATTACGCTGCTCGCGCGAGTGCACGGGAACAAACTGTTCAAGGCCAGCTCTGAGAGCGGAGGCCCCAGCAAGGGAGGGACAAACAAGTAGGGGGGAAACGGGGGAAAATTCGCGACGCAGAGGGCACGACGAGCCCAAGTCAGGGCTCGTCGACGCGTGTGGACGGCTTCAAGACACCGCCTGCCCAAGATGGTAGCACACATGGGTACGAAACAGTCCTCTCAAATCATGGGATGCCGAAGTACGCGATGGAAACACAAGAACAGGAAGGAAGCTCACGAGCAACGAGCAGGCGAGGGCGGGGTGGCGCGGGGAGGAATCTCGCAGGGCAGTGGCAGAGGCCAACGAAGGTTCATCAAGCTGCTTTGCGAGAGCGTCTCGGACTGACTGATACCCATGCCTTTAGCAGTCAGCGCAAAGATGCCAATCCAACGTCTGTTTGGGCTGCCCTGCGGCCCGGTGCGGCATAGCGGTTTTGAGAACAATGCGCATCATCCCAGAGGGGCCCATGAGGCATTGAGCGCAGCAAGACCGAGCACTGACACCCAACCCTGAAGCGGGCGACGAGAGGCTTAATCATAGGGGGGCAAGCAAGGCGGGGGCGACCCGCAACAAGACGTAGCATCTCATGGGGACTAGAACCACGCGCGCTTAGGCTCTAGCAAGCTCCAATCGGGCCGCACCATGCGCAACTCGCACCGGCGAGCCGCGCGCCCCGCGCCCGCGGGGCCGCGCCCGGACGCATCAAAGCGCATGTTCCCTGTGCCCGCGGGGCGCGCAGGCAGACGCCTCAAAGCGCCCACCGTGCGCGACTCGCGCTCGCAGGCTGCGCGCCCCGCGCCCGCGGGGCCGCGCCCAGACGCTCCGGAGGGCCTGTTCCCCGCGCCCGCAGGGGGCGCTGGCAGACGCCGCAAAGCGTCCACCACACACGACTCGCGCCCGCGAGCCCCCGGACCCGCAACAGCACGGGCCCGCTGCCTTCCTCAGCAGCGAAATGCGAGGGCACCAGGTCCCAGCCATTCGAGCGCCGCAGTGCTGGAGCCTTGGCGGAGAGACTGGAGGCCCCATTGAATGAAGCCTCGGCGAGGACTCTCCTCATCCGAAGAGAGCTTGCTGCCGACGACGCCTGCGCCTCGCCCTCGTGCTTAGCGGGGCGCGCGCCCCCCTTCCAGCAGGACCGGCAGAACTCGCGGCACTCCGAAGCGCCAGGGATCGAGATGCCCATCTTTTCGAAAATCTTGCAGTCCAAGCCCGGAGCCCTGTGTCACATGCCCGCCAGTGCAGTCGCCGGAACCCATTGCGCACGACCGGCGCGAAGTAGCCCTGGAAGACCTCGGGCAACTTGCGGGCGTAGGCCCGCCCTTTCGTCGACGACAGGCGCGCCGTAGCTGGCAACTCAGAATCTCGGCGCTTCATCGGCGGGGCCAGGGCCAGCAGCGCCGACGAAGAGGCATCCCCTGGAAGACCCTGCTGCGGGCGCGCATCGCCCGCTGCAGGAACGGCCCCGTCCAAGATGCGCACGTCCTTGATGGGCGGGCCTGGGTCGAAGTACCGGACCCTTCTGACCAGCACCGCCTGCTCGCCCATGCCGCTGCCACAGAGCGTCTGACCCACAGCCGCAAAGAGTGCCGTCCTCGTCGATCGCATCCGCCTTGCCCTTCTTCTCGCGGATGGCGCGACTGACCTTGTGCTGGGCGGTTTAGACCCTGCCCGTGTGAGCCCGCATGTAGGCCTCGGATTGGTCGCCCTGCCCGCGGCCCATGGTGTTCACCCACTCCTTGAAACTCAACGGCGTCGCAGCACTAGGCAAGAACGATCTCTCGGAGTGTTCCGCCCAGAGACGAAACCCACGGACTCCTCGTCGAACATCTTCTGGGGGGGGGGGGGGGGCGCGTCCCAGCCACCGAGAAGCTCGCCAAGAGTGCTCTTGACAAGGCTGCGCCCTCGTGGTACTTCACCCCCCCGTGCACGACCCCCGTGTAGTTCAGGGGCGGGGCAGCGAGAAAGTAGTCTCGCTCCCCAGAGGCATGGTGCGACCACAAGCCTGCACCCACCCACAACCGCATGGGCACCTCCAGAAAAGACTCCGTAGAAATCGTGAACGGGAGGGTTGCGTTGGACTTGTCCTTGCCGCTGGTTTTCGTCCAGAAGTGCGTCGCGAAAAGACCTTGCTCAATGAACGAGCTCTGACCAAAACTCCACCCAGACCTTGCACAGCCTCCAGAAGCAGCTCGACGGTCTCGTCGATGACCAAGCATTTGAGAGAGAGCGACGATGCTGATCACAAGTAGACGAGGTGCTTTGCGACTAAATCTACGACGGAGGCATCTTTCCCTGCGCCATCGCCTTGAGGATGAAGTTCTTGACCATGGGATCCGATGCGAGCAGCATCTCCTGAGGGCGGTGGCCGCCGTCGTTTTTCAGGAATCCCAATCGCCTCAACCGCGGCTGTGAGAACCGTGCGCCTGCACGGCTCCTCCAAGCGTGCCTGCAGGTCCTCCAAAATGTCTCCCACATCCCAGGGAAAAGGCGTACCCATTCCGAACGAACGACCTCACCTTGAGGAGGTCGCGGTATCTCCTCTCCAGCGTCGTCGCCCGGCGGCCCTGGGCGACATTGCGCAGAACAGTAAGTGGGGCGACTGCCCCATTGGGTTACCGAGCTGTCGGCAGGCCCGCTTCCAAGACGAAGTCGATGAGCAAAGATACGCACTTATCCCGCTCCCCCTGCTCAGCTTCCTCCCGACCTCGTGGGTCCTGTCTCTCATGGATCCTCGCCTGACCTGGGGAGGGCCATGCAACGCCTGGCCTGGAACACACTGGAGGCGTTGCTGCCAATGCCGTCGACGATAGATCCTTCACGACCAGGGCCTGCTGGAGCCTGGACCGCTTGACGTCCATGGCAATGTTGGCCTCGCTGTCCGGAAACGACACCGTGCGTCGTATGGGAGCCGCCCCAAGCTTCACAGCTGCGGCCCAAATAGTAACGAAGTGCTTGGCCGAGGACTCCAACCCGCGGGGGGGCAAGCTGGGGACAAACGACTTCACGAGCTACACCGCCTCAAAGACGTCCCCGTCCTCGAACAAACCATTGACGATTTTGGGAACGTCAACTTCTGCGCGCTCGAGTGCGAGCGCAACTGGTTCCGCCAGGCGTCGGAAAGGCGCCCATGCCGCCGGCCAAGCCATTGCTAGCGATCAGCAGGGCCCCAGAGTGACCTAGAGGGGTTGCGAAAATCGTTACTTTTCTCCTGGTGCGTCGTGCCCGGGAGCCAACATATGCAACAACTCAGCCAAACGCCGCAGCGTGTAGCGCGCCTGCACTGGTAAGGGACCCCGATGGGACCAGTCCCCCGAAGGGAGGAGGAGGAGGTGGAGACTGGAGGGGTGGAAGAGGAAGGAAGAGAAAGGAGGGAACGGGGAGGTGGAGGGGGAGGGGCGGGAGGGCGGGGAGGAGGTTGAGCAGAGGAGAGACACGGAGGGGGAGGCGGGAGCTCAGGAGGGAGCCGGAGCAGAGCAGAGCAGACTGCCGCCCCGCCCTCGATGGGGCTGCCGCGTGCGGTGCCTGGAGAGGCGGCGGAGCAGGGCTGTCATTGAATGCCCTCCGGGAGAGCCTGGGAGCCTCCTGGGAGCAGGAAGCGGAAGGGGTCGCTGCGTCCTGCAGTCGGACTCGATTGGAGAGGACACGCGAGAGGGCACAGGACCCTTCCGAAGGCCACACCGCCAAGGGAGTGTGAGGAGGCACGTGTCGCGAGGCACAGGACACGAGGGTAGCCTTGAGCTGGCAGGGGCGACCTGCTGATCCGGGCCGACGGTGCCCCTGCGGAGGGGGGGGGGCACGGGGCGGACAGGGAGGAGGCAGGGGCGCCCGCCCGAACTCCATCCCCTGCCTCCCGGCGGCAGCGACCTGGTGGCCCGCGAAACGGGGCGGAGGAGGAGGACGGACGGAGGAGGAAGCTGAAGGGGCCCCAGGACACACAAATAAATACACACAAATGAAAATATGACCTATATTTTCACATATGTTCTGGGTTTCTGTCTTCCCCCACTTCCCATATTTTCGAATATTTTCTGGGGGATCGACGATTAATTGTGTCTGTGTGTTTTTCTCCATCCTGAGAAGCAGCAAGAGGGCGGACGAGGAGCACGAGGAGGACGAACGGAGGCGGGAGGAGTCCGGAACGAGGAGGAGAAGGCCACTGCTCTGAGACTGGCCTTGACATCATACGGCATGGTGGCTGCCGAATCTAACTTCGGCGCCACTGCAGCAAGGTGTGTTGTGATACCGACCGTGACTTCCCAAAACGGCTCCAGGCGCAAAGGGGGCCTGGTGGTTTTTGTGCGTGTTGTTTTTAATAAGAAAACCTATGCGAATCTCTCTCTACGACTCCTTCTCTCTCTCTCTCTCATTATTTTTCTCGATGTGTTTCCGTTTCTCTCTCTCTCTCTCTCTCCCTGTCTCTCTACATGTTTCCATTGTCCTGCGTCAAACCTGCGCCGATCCTTCTCCCACCTAGCCGAGAGCATTTGAAACCTTCACAACAGGAACCCTTTGGAAAGCACCACAAAGGGATTCCATGTGAAAGCCTCTCAACAGGAACCCTTTGAAAGGCACCACAAAGGAGTTCCATTGGAAAGCCTCTCAACAGGTCTTCATTTGGGAAGCGCTACAAAAGGATTCCATTTGAAAGCATCTCAACAGGATTCCTTTGGAAAGCACCACAGAGGGATTCTATTGGAACGCCTCACAATCGGAATCTGTTGGAAAGCGCCACAGAAGGATTCTATTGGAAAGCCTCTCAGCAGGATTCGTTTGGAAAGCCCCACAATGGTACCATTGGAAAGCCTCTCAACAGGATTCCTTTGGCAAGCCCCACAGAGGTACTCTATGGGAAAGCCTCACAATCGGATTACATTGGAAAGCTTCACAATCTGATTCCTTTGGGAAGCACCCCGAAGGGAGTCTGTTGGAAGGCCTCACAACAGGAACCCTTTGGAAAGCACCCCAAAGGGATTCTAGTGGAAAGCCTGACAGCAAGAACCCTTCGGAAAATGCTACAAAGGGTTTCAATTGGAAAGCGTCACAAAGGAAATCCTTTGGAAAACTACACAAAAGGGATTCCATGGGAAAGCCTCACAATTGGAATCTTTTGAAAAGCGCAACAAAGGGATTCCATTTGAAAGCCTCACATCAGGAACCCTTTGAAAAGCACCACAAAGGAGTTCCATTGGACAGCCTCTCAACAGGATTCCTTTGGAAAGCACAACAGAGGGATTCTATGGGAAAGCCTCACATTCGGAATCCTACAGAAATCGCAACACAGCGATTCTACTGGAACGCCTCACAATCGGAATCCTTTGGAAAGCACAACAAAGGAGTTCCATTGGAAAGCCTCCCAACATGGTTTCTTTGGAAAGCGCAACAGAGGGATTCTATTGGAAAGCCGCAATCCAAACTGCTACCGTTGGGAGGATGGCGCTGGAACACAAATCCTCACAACAGGAACCCTTTGGAAACCATCACAACAGGAACCCTTTGGAAATCCTCACAACAGGAACCCTTTGGAAATCATCACAAAGGGATTCCATTGGAAAGCCTCCCAACAGGATTCCATTGGAAAGCGCAACAGAGGGATCCAATTGGAAAGCCTCACAACAGGATTCCTTTGGAAAGCACCCCAAAGGGATTCTCATGGAAGGCCTCTCAACAGGATTCCGTGGGAATGCATCACAGAGGGAGGGTTCAGCGCCGCAGGTACGAACCCCTCCCGCGACCTCCTCCCTGCGACTCCTCTCCATCCTCTTCCTCCTCCCCCTCCTCCCCCATCCACCCCTTCTGAAGGAATGCAACAACTTTGGGAAAACCATTGGAAAAGCCAAAAAAAACAAAGAAACCTAAGTGCTGGAAACGAAAACTTTAGAAAACCCATTGGAAAAACCAAAAAAAACAAAAAAAACAAAGATTCCACAGAGAGTGCGGGGATTCCCTTTGGACGTGTCCCTTCGGACGGGTGTTCCCCGCACTCTCTGTGGAATCTTTGTTTTTTTTGGTTTTTGGGGTTTTTCCTATGGGTTTCCTAAACTTTCCGTCTCCACCACTTAGGTTTCTTTGGTTTTTTTGGTTTTTCCAATGGTTTTCCCAAAGTTCTGGCATTCCTTCAGAAAAGGGGGAGAGGGGGAGGAGGCGGAGGAGGACGAGGAGGAGGAGGAGGAGGAGGAAGAGGAGGATGATCGGGAACAGGATGAGGAGGAAGACGGAGAAGGATGAGGAGGAAGAGGAATGCGCTACGAACGAAAACACACAGAAGAGAGAGCGAGAGAGAGAGAGAGAGAGAGACGCATGAAACCCTCGGAGGGCCGAAAGCCCGCCGAATCATCCAGTCTGGAGCTGAAAAAGATCACGCTTAAAAACCACCAGGCCCCCTTTGCGCCTGAAGCCCCGAAAACACGCCCGCGCCAGGTGCCAGCGCGCACGCGCGTCAGCAAGCCGTAGGGGGCCAACCCATTGCGAAGGGATATTGACCGATCTGTTCATCGGCTGTCCAACCCGACCACCCGCCCGACACACCTCCCCCCTCGCGCAGCTGCCGTCGACGACCACGACCTCGGAAGAGCGCAGGCAGCTCGATCGCGCCCGCGACGCGGATCCCCCCCTACTGGGCCTCCCCAGCGGACGCCCAGTACGTAGAGGGCGCCAAGGAGCCGGATGGCCCCGAGGGCCCCGAGGGCGAAGTACCCCAGCCGCCCGTTGGGTCCTGCCGCTCTGGCGCGCGCGCGAAGAGGATGCCGCGCCACAGCCGGGCCCTGCGGGGCAGAGCCGAGCCGAGCGGGGCGGGCCGTCGGCAGGCCGGGGCCAAACAGAGGGGCTGGCCACCCGCAGGGCCGCTGGCAGGTCCGCGTGGAATGGCCACGGGGCTGGCCGCGGGTTGGGCCTGACAGGGCTGAACCCACGGTGTTTTTCGTTTTCGTTTTGTTTTCGTTTTCCCTCGTTTTGTCTTCAATCCGCCTCTACCGCAAAGCGAAGTCAAAACGAAAACGGCCCACGAAATCGCCAAAACACCGTTTAGGTCCAGCCCTGGGGCCTGATCCTCCTCCCGTCCTCCTCAACCCTCCTGCTCGCCGTCCTCCGTATCCTCCTCGGTCGGTCGGGCTTCCAGTCGTGCGCAAGAGGGTCGAAATGCAAGATGGTCGAAGGCAAGCCTGTGCCGAAGATCCCCCAGAGAGGGGCGAACGCCTCTTCCATTCCTTTTCCTTGAAAAGAAATCCCCCGTGTCGCACCCCGAGGCCGGTCGAAAGGGCGGGCGCGGCGTTTCGCCTGAAACTTCTTAATCACTTATGAGTCTGAAGTTTGACTTTCACAGATGAAGGATGGGTGGCTTTCAAAATGTGGTGTTCGCTTCAGCGCCGCGCACCACCGCCTTAAACAGATACAGGACTTTCACGGATTGAGGGCGGCATGTTTTCAAGGTGAGGTTCTCGCCTTAGCGCCGCGCGCAGTCGTCATTAAACTTTGCAACAACTCCAAGGATTGAGGGCGGACCGTTTTCACAATGCAGCACCTGACTTAGCGCCGCGCGCTGTCATCCTAAAGATTAGCGAGATCTTCGCGGGCCGAGGCGGGTTGATTTCCAAGTGTGGCTCTCGCCTTAGCGCTTGGTTCACTCGTTTTCAAACTAACTCAAGTCTGAGAGGATTGAAGAAGGGTTGGGTCGATTGCAAAACGCAGTTATCGATTTAGCGCCGCCACACCCTCGTCTCAAAAGTTTGAAATCATACACGTTTATTCCCCAATCAGTGCTTGCACTGAAGGGGTCCTAGCGGATGTTGGAAGACTTGGCGGATGTTCCCCGCCGATTTTGGTGGCAGGCTGGATTCCCGGGTTCCCGGGTTCCCGGTTCCTGGTTCCCGGGTTCCGGTTCCGGGTTCCGGGCCGATTACCGAGGGCGGCGAGGTTCCCGGGTTCCCGGGTTCCGGGTCGATCTTCTTATCGATCGGTCTCACCATCGATCTCAGTACCGACTTCTCGATCGATCTCACCATCGGTCTCACAATCGATCTCGATATCAATCTCACAAGCGATCTCACTAGAGATCGCATGAGCGATCTCGCGATCGATCCCACGATCGACCGCATTGAATCGATTTCACTTTCGGTCTCACGACCGACCTTACAATTCGTCCTCGCTATCGATTACACGGTCGATCTCATTATCGATCTCACAATCGATCTCAAGATCCGTATTATTCATGTACAAGTCATCCACTGATTGGGTTCCTCGGGTGTTATATATGAATATATGTATATATAATTCCACAGTCACTGCTTCCATTGACAAAAAGTACGAGCGGATCTTGAACGATTTGGTGGAAGTCGGCGGCCCATTTCGGTGGGCGGCCGGGTTCCCGGGTTCCCTGTTCCGGGCTCTCGAGGTTCCAACTGCTGGTTCAGGGCAGATTTCGGCGGGCTGCGGGGTTCCCTGGCTTCCGGGTTCCCAGGTTCCTGATCGATTTATCTTATGGATCAGTGGCACCATCGATTTCATTACCCACCTCTCTATCGATCTCGCAATCGATGTCACATTCGATCCCACCATAGATCGCACGAGCGATATCACGATCGATCTCATTGAATCGACTTCACGATCGGCCTCACGATCGACTTCGCCATCGCCGTTTGTATCGATCCACGATCGATCTATCAAAATCAAGATCGTTGTCAATTTCCATATCACTAGTATTCTGCCCATCCACTGATTCGGGTTCCTCTCTGGGGATCTATCTACATATACAAACGTATACACATTCCCCAATTAGTGGATCTTGAACGATTTGGCGAAAGTCGGCGGTTGATTTCGGTGGGCGGCCCGGTTCCAAGCTCCCTGGTTCCCAGCTGCTGGTTCTGGGCCGATGTCAGTGGGTTGTGGGGTTCCTGGGTTTCTGGGTTTCCAGGTTGTTCGTCGATTTGCTGATGGATCGGTCATACCGTCATACTCATCGATATCCTTACCCACCTCTTTATCGATCTCACAATCGATCCCTCAATCGATCTCACAGTCGATCTCTCTATGGATCGCGTGAACGATCTGACGATCTCACGAACGATATCACTGAATCGACTTCACTATCGGTCTCACAATCGACCTTAGTACCGTCCTGTCTATTGATTCACGATCGACCGCATTGCCAATCCCACAATCAATCTCAAACCCCATATGACAAATATTCAAATCGTCCACTGACTGGGTTTGCCCCGGAGCAATACACCAAATAATAAATACGTCGGTGGGTAAATCGGGAATCGTCCAGGACATATGGACATGGATATATATATATATATATGTATATATATATAGTGTGAAAACGATCATGATATAGATCATGGAATCCATAGCGAAAGCGATTGCGTGGTCGGTATTGAGACTAATCGCGACGCCGAAACAATGACATCAATGGTGAGATCGATCGTGAGATCGCTCGTGCGATCTATATTGCGATCGATTGCGAGATCGGTAGAAAGAAATCGATTGTAAGATCGATCGAGAGATCGATGGGTAATGACGTCGAGGCTGGAACAGATCGATGAGAATATCAACCGAGAACCTGGAAAACCGGGGATCCAACCGCCCACTCAGATCGCCCCGGAAACCGGACCCGGGAAGCTGGGAACCTGGAGCCAGGAACCCGGGAACCTGGCCGCTCACCGAAATCGGCCCAGCACTTTCGCCAAATCTTTCCATCTCCGCCAGGACCCCTTCAGTGCAAGCACTGCTTGGCGAATGCAAGAAAAAACATGGGTTCCCATGGTTAACGCGCCAGAAACTGTCTGTTAGAAGAATTGAATATTGGCTGGGCGCAACAATTTACACTGCTTCGCGACGGTAGAACCCAAAGAACGAGGCCCCAACACGGTTCTGAATCGTCACGACGCAAGAATATCTTTCAGTCGTGGCGTTGAAATCCCGAGAGTGCTGTTCCAGCACGCTTCGGGCTCTTTTCAAACGGTTGTTTCCCAGAGAAGCACTACCTGCAGCGAAGATGAAAAGCAATCTGCCTAGTAATGTCCATGCTGGAAATATCCAACTCCACAGGCAATGGCAAATTATGATATTGTTGTTCGTTTAAATCGTCTTGTACTGGTCCCGAATTCGACCTCGGCGTCGGGGGCCTTCTTGTCGACGTGGCTACGTGGAATCCGTAGAGCGGCACGCTTGACAATCGGATGTGCATAGAAAGGGCCGGCCGGCCGAGGGGGGGGTCCGGGCGGGCCGCGCGCGCGCGGACCTTTTTCCTGACTGCAGCGCAGAAGGCTGCGCATAAGTATATGAGTCGCAAATGCAACAAGCGCTCATCATAAGTGGGCGCCGCGAGCCCTCTGCTGGATGGCATAGTCGGCCCAGCAGAAGGGGGCGAGGGGGGCGTTGGGAATGACTCCCCCATGCGGCCCTCGACGCGCAGCTGTCCTGCGCGCCGATGGGCGTCGAAGAATTTGTTGCTAGCGCGCCGCGCCGATCCTGGGCATGCTACCCGGGGCGCAAAAGGCTCGCGATGCGATGGGGCGCATTCGCCCGGCTTCGGCAAGTCTCAGGGCGCCTAGACTTCATTCCTTCCTCCATCCCAAGGCACAGTGGCCCCCGCGGCGGCAGCGGCGAGGAACGTTGCGTTTCGCCGCGCGCCGTAGGGATGCAACCCAGTTCTGGTAGAACCGCTACTAACCCGCCCTCGCGCCGCGACCGATCGCCGGGGGGGCCATCGCATAGCGGCGGGTCGCTATCCCTCACTTCCGGGGCGACCATCGCATAGCCAGCGGCGAGTCGCCCACCCTGAGCGCCAGGCGCCGCGCCAGCGGTCGCCCCCGCTCCAACGGCTGCCGCGGCCATGCAAGTTCGACCAGCTGCCGGCGCCCCGCCGCGAGCTGCGCCGCGATGACCACGGCGCGTCCATCTCCTGGCCCGGACGGGGCCTCTCATCAGCAGTCGTCTTCCTCGCGTCCTTGGGCGTTGCGCTGAGGCTGCGGGGCGTCGGCAGGGGCCGCCGATGACGATGCCTTAGCGCGGCGCCCAGCTCGCGCAGCGTCGGCCGATGGTCTCGACGCCGCGCCGACGGTGGGCGATCGCGGGGCCACTGACTTCCGCGCCACTTCCGCCGCAGCCCCCCCCCCGCCCTTGCCCCGCCGGAAGCAGTACCAGGTGTGGGTGGGTGGGTGCGGGGGGGGGCATCGCGCCTGGTCTCCACGGAGCCGCTCTTTCCTGTCGAAGTCATCCGCGCAATGCGTTGGCGGGCCGTGGGCTGAGTGGACCTGAGGCGCTTGTCGCCCGCGCGGCCGCGAGGCTGGCCGGGCCCCGATCCATCGCCAGGAACGCAATTCCGAATCGCTGGTGGCCTCCGCGAGGTGCGCCTTGGACCCGTCGGGCACGGCTAGGGAACGTCCGACTTGGCGCGAGCAAAGATGCGCCCGCGATGCGCGCATCGAACTCCCGAACCGCCATCTGCCGAAGGGCGGATAGGTCAGGCGTCAAGAAGTACGCTGTAGTGCCAATTCGGTGTTCTTCTTGGCGCTGCTGAAGATACTGGAGACAGTCCTCGACCTTTGGAACTTTTGCCAGTGCGGACTGCAACTCGTCCGCTCACGGCACAGTCGTGAATCATGACGACGGCCCCCTTATGCGCTCGCACAATCATCAGATGGTCCGCAACGGCGTCCCCATATTTGACCCAGACGCGGTCTTCGTCGCCCACTTCTCCAGAGCTGAGCGGCC